ATGGTCACGTGATGAAAATTCAGATGCTTGGCAACCGATTCGTATTTATGATGTTTGCAGTGTTGTGGGATCATGTGATCACCTTTTGTGACCTTCTGACAAGCAAAGTCAATGGGGAAACTAGATTCACTTAACTGTGTTACTAATACTGCAGTGATTCACTTAACAAATGTGGCAAGAAAAGTCGTAAAATGGGACAAAACTCATTTAAAAAATGTCTCACTTAGCAACAAAAATTCTGGGCTCAGTTGTGATCGTAAGTCGAGGACTACCTGCATCAGACTACCTGATCTTGCAGGAGTAGCATGCAATCACCAGAATGTTATTTACTCTATTATAAAACAGTTCTAAGGTAGAGGGCAGAACTGAAAAATATATAGTATGTAAGGTATTTCTATATAGTACAATATTCTTATGTTTATGCATTACTTGGTTCCTTTACTGGATCAGCTTCCTTATTTTTCTATTAGAGTTATGTTTATCTCTCCCAGATCACATGTATATACATGATATATTCTTTTGTTGGGTAAATGGAAGACGGAATAGTTAATGATTTAACAGAAGAGACTGCACAGTATATCTTGAGCCCTATTTGCATAATAACCTGAAGATTTTATACTGAAAGAAATATTCCAACAAGTCTAGATAAGGTTAATGTGTTATCTGTTTTAAGTCCCAAAGTTTTTAGTCTCTTTTTTATGGGAATCTCTCTATCCTTATTCAAGGCCCAATGACCATCGAGCTTGCCCAATACCAAAGTCAGAGTATCTTATGTTGGGGCTTATATGTAACAAGAGTTCTAGGATGTTTGAAGTCTACAAAAATAGAAGCTTCTAGGAACGCAAGAAGGCTGGTAACACAACCAAAAGAGCACAAGCAAGCAGGGAGCAAGAGAAGTCATAGGTATCTATGAAGGGGTGGATCAAATGCACTGTCTGATTCAGGTGTTCTGTGTTTCCCATCCATTATTTGTTTAGTTCATTATAATCTGTCAGCAGGAGAATTAATATAGATTTCAGAATCCTCACAGCTTCTTTTCTTATACTTAGTTTTAAGTATTTTATTTAAGTATTTTCTATTCTCCATTTCTGTCTCTGTGACAACCAGACCAGGAAATTGTAAAATGGATAATAATTGCCATCTCCATCATGCCATCAATGCCTGTTCAGGACACTGGTATGTTAAAAATAACAAACAAGGTTGTTTAGGCATATATATTAGTCAAACATTTCCACATGCTTATCTGCAAAGCTGACGACAGTTTAACTCAAACTTTATAAAATGGCCTTTCTTTTGGGATATGTAAAAAAAAAAAAAATTAACCCCAGAGGTTCTGTTTTCTGAAAGTGTTTAATCATATGACGTATTTACATTATGAAACCATCCTTCTATATTCACCAGTGATATAATCAGCCATGTTTGGCAAATATATATAAATGGAAATGTACATTAAAAAAAGTTTGCTTATAAACAAAAGGCACAGACTTGCAAATATAACCTTCAGCATATGGCATAGTCTCTGGAAAAGACAGTAGGATGCTCTTATTTTCGAGAGAAATATCAAAGGAAAAAAATTTGAAGTTGCTTAAAGTCAACTCTTTCATTGCTTTTTATTATAGACTGATGGAGAATTGTTAGAAGATCATGTTATAATTCTATTGCCTATTTCTGTTTCTGTCTATGTTATTAGTAAGGGAAAAAAGTTATGGCTGCAAAGCTTGCTGATGGTAAGAAAAACAGCTTTACAATTCTTGTTCAGATATGGAACTAACAGGACCATAAATTAAGCCCCATTTCAGAAATATGACAATAAACTTCAAATAGATTGCAAAACTATTGAGTCTTTTTGTTTCATTCAGTAAAATTTTATCTTGAGAAACAGGAACACCAACTGTCAAATTATAGGAGAATTTTATCTGTCCATCTGTTTTTAACCATTTAATAAGAAAAAAACCCACTGCATTTGAAGTGAAAATATGAACATTATTTAATAACTGATCCTCTGTAATAAACAATTTGAAAATATTTTACAAGGAATCACACACACAATATTTTACAAAGATTTTAGTCTTTTTTAAAATTGTTCAACTCTTCTGTACAAAACAAAATTAATGTAACAAAAAATGAATTATTGGAAGAAAGCTTTTTAAGTGAAGAATGATAGGAATAGGATTCAAGCAGCTATAAGAAGAGCAACTTGACGTTTTATTTTATTTTCTTAACTTAAAATATAATATATATTTATAGATATGTATATTTTTCATTTTTTTTCTCAGATGAGCAGCACCCAACTAGACTACAGATTTACATACACTCCTGGTAACACAGCCAGCCATCTGGTCAAAGCACAGTTCCCATATACATAACCAAACACACACTAAAAAGCTACAAGCAAAATGACCTTGTCATTATCAGTAATCACCTCCTTGTCCCTTGACTTTGGAATCAAATTTTCAAGATCTTGTCAAGATCATGGATCTCCCCCTTCCTTTCCTACCTCTCTACCCTATTGCAAATTTTGTCCAAACTGATTTTAAAAGGAATTAGGCATGTTAGGTGGTTTGAAAAATGACTACATTTCACCTCTGCTAATATGTCTATATGAAGAAATCAGCACATAGGGCCAATGGAATTTATTTTTACACAGTCTTTTACTTTTTCTAGAAAAAAAGTTTCTAAATGGGATTGACAAGGTCGAAATAAGAGTCTCTTGTTCTCAAGAGACTGTTCTTTGAAGATTCATTTTCTCCAAAGCATTTTTCCTACTTCTCTGAATTCAGGAAATTGGCTTAATCCAAGTTCATAATTCTTTGCGTGGTTAATAATTACATGAGATTTTCTGTGCTGATGCTATCATGTCAACTGAATATTCATTTTAATTCTTCCAGTCTCATATTTTACTTTTTTTAGAACTATATTTTCTGCTTTAACAGCTTTGGATAATATTTTGTTTCTTGTTTGGTTTTTTCATACAGCCTGTGAAACGTCTGATTTCCTCAGGTGATTGAAGCAAAATGGTCATGCTCTTGGCTTCCTATTTCCCAACATATCTTCCCCTATCAGTCAATCAGCATCATCCATCATCAGTGGAAAAAAAAAAAGACTGGAGGAAGACTTAATGACAATATACAAGTGATTCTGACTGGGACATAGCACCAACCATTCAGACTCTAAGATAAGCTGCAGATAACACAAATTATGTGAAATGGACATTCCAGTTTCTGTTTACACAACCATTTCAAAAGAGTTGGTTGTTGCCTAACTCAGCTTATATTTACATATACATCTGAAGAGCTCATTTTCAGAAGGCAAATTTTGCTACAATAGCAGGGAAAGAGCAAAGTATTTCTGTCCAGACCTGCACATATTGCAATATGATTAGCTCATGCACAAACATCGATCTCACCCACCCCAATCCTTTCTCCCAAAATTGGAATCATCAACTTGGGTTGAAAAATGGACCATAGTTCCATCTTCCAAATGGTGATTCTCTAACTCTGGAAAAGTTTGCTCAGAACTTTGCTTCCTTTTTGTACTAGTTGTGAAAAATGTGAGAAAGGATTACTATTGAACATATAGGTAAATAACAGAAAATTCTTTTCTAACCAGTGGTTTTTGCATATATCACAACTGAAGTAATTGGAGGCAGGGCAACCTTTCTCTGACATGGTACTCAGTGATTCCCTGACTGATAAATGAATCATGTTTGATATGTAGTAATCAAGGCAATATCTATACTCTGTTAAGTTCAATATGTCTTCTGCTGTGGATCTGTTTTTATGTTTCACTTCCAGTATTGTCCATTCTGCCATCTCCTTTCCCTTCTGAACTTGAGTCTAGAATCAACTAATGGTGAGGGGGTTATTCGGCTAAAATTGCACCCAGACATTAAAAAATGATGAGACTTTTACCAAAACTGAAGGTGAATGCACTCAAACTTAAGCTGAACAAATGCCATAATTATTAGAAAGGATAATACTGTTCCATAAGTGGTCATCCAGCTAGCTCTGTTATCAGCATTGCTCATATTTTTCTCTCCAAGAGCTTTGCATATCCAGAGAAACACTCGTTCTGAAAGTTGAGAGTCATTATCTCTCATGGCAATGGAGGTATATCAATTCAGTGATTTATCCAATCTGGACCAAGCTCAGGAGAAACCAGTTCTATATGTTTGTAACAAAAGCTGCCTGGGCATAGCAGCCATTGGCTAGAACCTATAATGTAACTAAACCATCTTTTCCCTGCTGTCTCCAGATTTCTTGGCATTTCAGACTTAGAACAACTATTATTATTTTAAAGATATGCATGACTGGAGTTTTAAAAATGTGTTTTAAAGCAAGCAATTCTAAATCTAGGATGAAAAAGAAAGAAGCCAGAGGACCCAAGCAGTGCTTTCATTTGCGACATAAATATCCTCTTAAAATAAGGATATCTAGAAACAGACTCACCTCAAGGAAGGAAAAAACAACAACCCATAGAATTACAAGATATACTTGCACCATTGTGAATCACTTAAGGTACGTTTTTTAATCTGTCTTTGGTTATTACATACATAAACACATCTGTATGTATATGTATGTAAACAACAAAATGTGCTTCATTGTGACTATAAAATTTCATTGGGTATGTTAAAACAAAACAAAACAACCCCAACATCTTGGAAGGCACCAGCCAAAAGTCAAGGATGAAAACAATACCAATTCAACCCCAGTAAATTTTAGTTTTGAGCTTGAATAATTGAACTAGAACGAAGAGTCTTGTGGCTGACCAAGAGGTGTGTCATGGCCATTAATAGTGGTGATATGGTAAGGTATTCAAAAGCAGGGAAAGGCCATGTTATCCAATCAGCTTCTTGTATGAATGAGAAGCACTTCAGGTCCAATATCATTTCTGTGTATACTTTTTGTGCTCTAAATATCTTTTCCTTCTCTGAATATCTGTTGCTGATGAATATATACTGGCTCCAGAGCACTAGCCAAACAGTCACAGACAAAGTGGCATAAGGAAGACAAGAGGTTTTACTCAGACTAATGTGGAATGAATTTGGGAGTTTTCAGCAAGCACACTACAGACAGTTGCCCACAACACAAAACAATCACACAATTTGGCACAATTTTGTAGTTTCTGCTCAGAAGAGACCAGGGAGATTCTGAGAGACTAGTCACAACCAGTACAATTGATTATCACTGGTAGTATACCCAAGGAATAATGGTGCTATCTTTACCATACATCAGAGTTAGTTAGATTTATAATAGTGATGTAGTTAGTTATGTCTTTATAATCTCCCAGTTTACTTCTGTAGAAATCTATACAAAGCCAATGAAGCAGAACTACTATCCTTAGCACCAGTGCAATTGTTGTGCATATAAGCAATCTGGAAAAAAAATGTAGACTTGGAAGTCTTTTTAGCTGCTTACTTGAAAATGAGGATTCACTTGGGGGAGAGAGTTATATGTACACAAAGGAATTTGAATGAAGTTAGCTTTTGAGAGATTTAAGAATTTCCTAGTCTCAAGAGCAAAGTTTACTGAAAAGCAAGCAAGTGCACCCTTGGTTCTACTTCCAGATTTGTCAAGTATTTTTTTTTTCCACAATCGGTCCAAGCACCACATGTTTGCACTTTGCAGCCATAATTATTACAGCAATATTATGCTTTCGACTCTTTAGATGATATTATGAGGACCACAGAAATCTTACTTCTAACAACATCAGTAAATAATTTTGTCTGATATGCCTCCAGTATTGTCTGAGGAATGGGTTGCATTCAGCAATTGTATACCTTCAATTAAACAACTGGTGGGGCTACTGTAAATGGCAGAGGCTGAATTAACATGTAAATTGTGAGATCAGGAAGCTTTTCTCCAAAATTCTGGTTTAGTACTAAATCACGACACTATGACCACAGGAAATTTGATTCAAACATAATCTGAAGTTGTTAATCAAACTGGGTTATCTTCCTCTTTAGAAATCTTCAGGTTGAAGTAATGACTTACAGTTTGCTTTCCAGATTTTCTTGTAACAAAGCAAATGAAATTCATAGCACTTGAATAATTCATAACTGGTGGCATTTTTGGATTAAATGTAGTTTGGATTAAAGAACTGAGCATATGAAGTTGAAATGAGCGCATCACTGTGTATAATATTTTAGCAGGCTTTTGTAACAGCAATCAGCCTTGTGCCAGAGGGGGGGAAAAACCATGCAGTTCTTGGTGTGGCAATCAACAGTTTCTCCCTGATGAAGTTGCATCATACTGTTCTGCAGTTCCCCATATTGTTCAGAAGATTCTGGCTGTCCTATAACATCAAGCAGGAACAAAACAAACTAAACTAAACTAAACTAAACAAAACAGGATTCTTCTCACTTTGCTGGCTATTTCAAGTGTAGAGGCAGTGCAGTGGGGTATATTTGGCTGATGAGAAGGATCTTCTGGAATTGTCAGGGGACTGCAGGCATTTCAGTTCATAATGTGAAGCAAGATTTGTTTTGTTACCATATGTGCACCAGTTAATAGGCACAAAGACCGGTAACCTGCTCAAGACAAATCCTAAAAACAGCCTTTTTTTAAAGGATGCCAGTTGATGAATTATAGCATTATACTTTCTTTTAATTCCTCAATCGTTGCAACCACTTAAAATAATTCCAGACATGAAATGTACGCTTGCAGAGTCATCAGAGGTGCTTTGTGGAGTCTGAGCTTAGTGGCAGATATTTTAACAGCCATCATTGTGAAGCAGAACATTTTCACTTCCCCCAGCTCAAGTACATAGACACTAAAGAGTGCAGTTAGGTTTCTGCACAAAGTCTATGAAGAAAAACTTTGGCTATCATCTTCATGAGTTGGTTTGGCACACAGTGCTGCCTCCACTAGGGTGGACAATATTCTTTAAAGTTTAGAAGAAAAGAAACTGAAGAAAAAAGACTTCATCTTTGTCTAAGCCATCTCAATAATTGGCTTATCTTAAAGATTGGATACTGCAGAGCTACCAACTGAAGACTTCATCGTGATTTGGGGAGTAGAACAGCTCTTAAAATAGCTCATATTGTTTTTTTCAATTGGTTCAAATGAGAAATGGGGAAGCAGGAAAATAATCAACGGGGGCTGCTGGATTTAAACCATAATTGCATTCTATCTTGCTATTCATTTTTTAAAGATTGTCTCAGTTGCTGCATCCTCCAACCATACATGGATTACTGGAATGGTATCCAAAAGGATCTTCACACTCTCTTCTTTCTGCCCTGCTTGGTTTTCAAGTCATCTTTACAGAATAAGCAGTTAAAATGAATAATACTGACCTTAACATTCAAGTGATATCCTCTGCGTTTGTGTATGTTTCTTTCTTGCTGATAATAAATACTGTAATCTCTCAGGGTAATTGCTTTGAAATCAGATGTTGAAAGATCTGGATTAAACTGTTTAGGATGAAAATAATTCACCATTGATTGGAGATGGGATCCACCTATTGAAAGGCAGAGATAACGGTGGCCTTGGAAAACTCATAGTGAATTGGGTGGAATGATATTGGGGTGATCTTGTAAGATTACTTTGAGTCTGAAAAGCTACTGGAATTGGTTGAAAGGTTTGCTAGGTTACAGAATCAATTTGGCAAGACTACTCCATTTTTTCGGTTATAGTGATCGGTGTTGTTTCTGCAGTTTTCATTATTGGAATGGGAAGGTACATTATTTCAGACAAAATAGTATCATCAGTATTGTTGATTAAATACTTTTAAAACCATAATAAAAGTCCTTCACAAGAAAACTAACAAAGGTCTCCCAGAATTCCACAGATTCAATGGAAAAATAAAATCATGGGGCCATGTTCTTTGTATTTGGCCAACAGCTCAGTGAGTGGAAAGGGGAATAATGAATCAAAGCTCAAGAATGTTCCCTGTGTGGAGAAGATCACGGTGGTCCATGCTTCCCTTTGTCATCTCAAAGCTCTCTTTAGCACAACCTGCTGTGCAGAGACACTGGAAAGGCAAGGATTGATGGAGGAAAAGGATAAAAAAAACCAAGAACAACTTCTGGATTTCTGAGTAAAGAAAGCAACAATCCTCATGAGTGAATGCCAAGGTGCAGCCAGAATTGATGGGACTAGGCAGAAGTCATCCTCTAGCAAGTCTGGAGGGGATGATGATGTGCATAAAATAAAAAGGATGGATTAAGCTAAATGGGCGTTTCAAAGGCAAAATGCCAAGGGCAGCGAATGGTGACTTGCAGTCAAATAGAGAAGAAGTAACTGCAAGCATAACAAGATATTCAAGGAAGGTCTAAAGGAGGCCCCTCTGCCACAATCCGAGGTGTCTTCCTAGAAAAGCAAGAGAGGAAGAGAGAGAGAAAGAAGTTTCTTTAAAGATACTTGCTTTTGCTGAAACTTATATACAGTGTATATACATACATATATACATATGTATGCATATATATGTATGTGTGTATATGTATGAATGTATGTATATATGTATGTGTATATGTGTGAGTGTGTATATATATATATATATATTTCTTTTTCTTTTTCGTAGGCTTTTATGTGCTTATTCTTTCTAGCCAGAAAGGGCTGTAGAACAGCTTAGCTTACGTAGGTAAAACCTGGCTAGAAAGAATATGATACAAGATATATATAAATATTTGTTTTCTTGCTGAAACTTGCTATATGTATTTTTAAATTTTGTTTCTTTTAAGCAAAATGTTCATGCAAATAAATTTGTGCATTTTCCAAGGCTTTGTCTCCTCTATTCCTTGTTCTATTAGAACAGCTTTGAATATTTAGGATTCTGGAATAAACTTAGTTTTATAGATTCATTAGCGGGAAAAGAATAAATTGTACTGTTTTCAGGATAAAGAACAAAGCACAATGAGGTTAAAAGGACATCCAGACCAATGTATACATACAATAACTCATCAAAATTGCATTGGGTGCAGACATTACTATGCCTCTTGTCATGCACACTTGTTTTCTCTTTTAGTCTATTATTTTCTTTAGAAAAAGAAACAATTCACAAGCAGACAAAAGACGCATTAATGGTTTTCTAGAGTCCAATAACCTTTGTTCTGTCAGTTAAAAGTGAATATTTTCTAGAGGCAGAGGCACAATAAAATGTATTTAGAACGACTGTCAAGACTGGAAAAAGCTTCTTTACAGCTTTTCCCTTTCATTTCCTCCTTCCCTCCTCTTCCTATCCCCTTCCCCTTCCCCTTCCCCTTCCCCCTCCCCTTTCTTTTTCTTTTTTCACTATTTACTATTTCTCTTTATTATTTTTATTTTCTATGGTTTTTGCTTTCTTAAAAAATTCTTAATATTATATGTGTGTGTGTTTGTGTGTGTATTCCCATTAGTTATCCCTCCTTTTACTTACAGTTATATTATAATCAAAACAGATGTGGGGACCCTTTCGGTAACGTGGCTTCTCTACTAGCTCACATTGATTGCGATCTCCTGGTGGAGCTTTGAGTCGTCAAGCAAATGAAGCAGAAGATAAAGAACGTTAGACAGATTAAAACGATGTGAATTACAAGATTAAAAAAATATGATAAAACAATATTTTTTTAAAAAAAATATTAAAAATAGAATACAAATACTAACAGTGTCAGGCTTTGAAGTGTATTCAAACTGCTTTGGTTTTCACGGCTTTACAGCTTGCCAGTAGACCAGGGGGAAGGGAGGGAGAGACTGGTAGGTGCATTCCAGATGATAACAAGGAATGGTCTCTTGAGAACCAAGGACATTTCAGCCAGTCTTCACCAGATCTTCCCACAACAACACCTGGACACCTAATTGGATAATGTGACCTACACAAATGGGGTGGGGGTGGGGAAGGCAGGATTCTATACTTTAATTATACTGAGTTGCCTGGGAATTCCCTAGAGCGGGTTTTGCTTCGGTCCGTGCCAAAATGATGGCCTCAATAAAGCTTTGCATTAAGAGATTGGATCGTCTCAACAGTGCCTGCTTGTTTGGGTTCGTCAGTTGGAACCTTGACAAACACATTAAATTATTTCCAAATATTGAACTCTTATTCCAATCTACTTTTTGTTTTACATCTTCAAATTCCAGACAGTCCTACGTCTGTGATTGGTTTCTTTCCTTCCTCACTCTCTTGTTTTTGTTTTCCTCTCTCTAAAGTCTGTAGTTGTCTGTAGTAAAGTCTGTAGTCAATGTAAATGGTAGCTGGTGGAAGAAAAAAAATGTGAAAGTACTATTTTTGTGAAAATTTTCAATGGCCAGTATATTTAAGTGGGCTCCTATAGAAATAAAAAAAAAAAAATTCTAAACAAGGAGTAAATAGACCGGGCATTAGATGGCCTTTTGTTTGACTCCTTGGCAGCTTGTCTTACACAAAAAAAATGTAATGCATAAAAGTATATTGCTCAGCTGATTGTTGGGTTGCCTTATAGCACAGGAACAGGAGAGCACTGGAATGTAGCTCTCTCCAGCAACTCACTGCGTTTTGGGAGAGAAAGAAAAGAGAAATGGAACAAGAAGTGTCCTCACTTCCTTTTGAATAATACTGCTTGCTGCTTTTCTCTTTTTACTAGATTCATTTTGTCTCCTAAAAGATGCTTGACAGGGAAGGAGGGAAACTGTTTTCCTTGCAGTTGGGGGAGATGGATGAGGGGAACACACGTGTGTACGTGTATACATGACAACATAGCTCCTGTCTTTCAGTGCAGCTCTCTGGTTCTAGGCCGTTTGTCTTCAGCCTGATCTAAACTATATTTATAAATTGCATACAATGGTGATGTTAAAATTCTGCATGAAAATCCTACATGGCACTGAGGTTCTGCAGGGTCCTTCTTCATCTTCTTGGATCTCCAGAGAAGTTCATCATTGACTAGTTGTCAACTAGTCATGACAACTCTGGATTACTTCTACCTGATGTAATGTATCTCTGAGTATCACTGGCTGTGGAAGATGAGTTGGAGAACATGAATGTGTTTATGGCTTTTTATGGATTTTCCATAGACCTGTTTGGCTATTGCAGGTATAAGATATGTATCTTGAGCACCAATGTTACCTAGCTGAGTAATAAAATGTCTGCAAGCAAACAACTAAGCTCAGAGAACACCAAGGACTCCACTATTGCAGGTATATTATTGGACCAAATGCCCTTTGGTCTGATACAATGTAGATTGTCTTAAATTGTTACAAAATTCGCTTTTACCTTTATCTACATAGTCTACAACAGGGGTCCCCAACCTTTTGGACCTCAGGGACCACCAACTTCATAATTTTAAATTTCACAGACCACTAATACGAATCCAGCACGCCGCTTGCTGAAGCACCTGGACTCCCAGTGACGGGATGGGGTCCTTCAGGCACTCTCCCTCCCCCCCTCTCTCCCCACTCTTTCTCTCTCCCCCCTCTCTCTCATTCTCTCTTTCTCCCCCCCTCTTTCTCTCACTCTCTCTCCCCCAATCTCTCTCTCTCATTCTTATTCAAGGGCCGGAAGAAGTGTGGGAGCGAAGCACTACTTGAACTTGCACGGCATGAGCATTCACCTTGGTATATTTGCGCCAGCCGATGGTGCAAGGCAGCCCTCGTTTCCTGCCACTTGGGACTTGGAACGGTAAACAGTGTCTGGTTTGGGGAGCAGCCGGATTTTGCTCTCCATTGCGGATGCCAGATCACCCCCCTGCAAGCTCTCGTCTCTCGAGGAGCGCTTCCTGAAGCGGCGCTGGAAACTTTGGTCGGGCTTCTCGAGAGGTGAGAGCTTGCAGGGGGCCAATCTGGTGTCTGCAATGGAGAGCAAAATCTAGCTTCTTCTCTCTGCTGTAAGTGCGGCATCAAGATTAGACTTTGGTATATTTGCGGCGCAAGGCAGCCCTCGTTTCCTGCCGCTTGGGACTCGGAGCGGTAAACAGCATCTGGTTCGGGAAGCAGCTGGATTTTGCTCTCCATTGTGGATGCCAGATCGGCCTCCTGCAAGCTCTTGTCTCTCGAGGAGCCTGACCAAAGTTTCCTGCACCACTTCACGGACCAGACACCATTTACCGCTCCGAGTCCCAAGCGGCAGGAGATGTGGGCTGCCTTGCGCCACTGGCTGGCACAAATATACCGAAGGGGAATGCTGTTGCTGTGCAAATGAAAGTAGTGCTTCACTCCCGCAGCTTCCAGCCATCACAAACGCTGTTTCTTCCTGCTTGTGCCACCCCCTCCCCCACTGCCATAATAGCACCATTCATTCCGGACTGCGAGAACTGCTCTCTTTTTTCCGTATTGCACCACCTGCAAAAATAAGAAAATTTCTCTGCGGACCACCAAAATTTTCTCGCAGACCACCAGTGGTCCACGGACCACCGTTTGGTGACCACTGGTCTACAAAATTGTAATGGATTTGAGCTCTGATTATTGTATGTTTAAACTATTTGTGATAATCTGATTATCAAACTACTTATAATGTAAGGAAATGTATCTCAAATAATGTTTATTAAAAAAAATACAGCAGAAAAAACATCAGTCAATAATAGTCATACCATCTATTATATTGTGACTGATTTGGAACACAATTGATCACCAATACCTTTTATCTCTGCTTGGAGAAGTTTTGTGGATTCACACTGATTGCATATTGGCTTTTCTGCTACAACAAACAGAAGATTAGACCCAGCAAGCCTTTGTGCATGGAACAGCCTGGAGAAAAAGAGAGAGAAGAAGAAGTACTGCTATCCTGTTATCCTATCCTTCATAATTTATAGAATTGTGCTCCGCAAAGAAGAGCTTTGATAATATGATGTTTTTCTTAGTAAAGAGCTTCAGCTTCTGAAGCAACCATCATAGCTACCACATTCAAATCTCTCTCTCTCCCTCTCCTTCTCTCTCCCTCCCTCCCTCTCTCTCTCCCTCTCTCTCTCTCTCTCCCTCCCTCTCTCTCCTTCCCGCTCCCTCCCTCTCCCTCTCCATCTCTCTCTCTCTCTCTCCCTCCCCCTCTCCCTCTCCCTCCCTCTCCCTCTCCCTCTCTCTCATCATCTTTCTCCCATATCCATCCATCCATCTCTACATATATTTGACACCTATCTTGTTGAGGATGGAGAAGGACATTCCCCTCCTGTAGTTATAAGGACTGAGCTGAAGAACCAGAGTCTTACAATGTTTACTAACAAAAGGGGCTCTTTGTACTAACCTAGAGCAATTTCCACAGTCAATGATGGTGTTGTAGGTATAGTTAACCGAACTAAAATAGTATTGGGTTTGCTTCATGATGCAGCTGGTCTCCTTGGATTCCATGTTGTCTGCTGAAACATCCTCTGTTTGCATACATAGTACATATAATGTGTTGCAAATAAAAGCATGAAATTTTAAAAAAATCTTTCTTACATCAGCTAAAAAGCAGTTCATCTGGCTAGATTGACTTTTATGAAAGCTGTGCTTGTGCCAAATGCTACTGATAATAGGGCAAGTATGTATGGGGGAAAATTCAACGATTTATCTTATATTTCTCTTTTGCCTTACTGTTTGTTTTTTCTCATCTACGTAGCCATTTATTTTTTATTTTGTTGCAGAAGTATAACATTTTTATTTTTGCAGATATTTATATTTTATTTTTATTGTAGAAGAATAACATTTTTCTGCTTAGTCTAGAGCAGTATTTCTCAACCTTGGTAACTTGAATATGTGTGGACTTCAACTCCCAGAATTCCTTAGCCAGCATGGGGAAATCTAGAGTTTTTTTTCTATCAACCTTGTTATTGCTTTTTGTTCTGCCATCCTCTACTAATCTACATTAAAGCTTGATGTGTTCCCTTGCCCAACTAATCCACCTTGTGAAATTGACTTACATCTGCTATTTTTTTCCACTGCAGAGGTCAATTTAGCAACTTATTGATGGCTCCACTCATTTTTTTTTTGTCATGATAGGTCAGATTTATCGGAGTATGTTTTGGTGAAGATTTATGTGTGCAGATTTTATGTTTGTGCCCCTAAAACCCCCTGAAGCTGCACTCAGAATAATTAGGTCACAATCTGCTTCTCAAGATTAAAGACATAAAGATGGGGATGCTTTTTAGAGACCGAACCATTCAGTTGTAGCAAGCAAGCAATTTCAGTAACATATTCAGTCACATGGTAATGAAGGAGCAACTGACAGTCAGATAACATTTAATTTTATTTTCTCTTCCTTTATTAATCCAGCTACAGTTAATTTATAATGCTTCCTCCTGCCATTTCATTTTTTGGGAGCTTAGAAAAATATACAAATAGGGATTTTACCTGTTTGAAACCAGCTGTTATAGGCTAATCCATATAAGAACTGCTGAAATAGAGACCTTGTGGAAAGAAATAACAATTAGGTGACTGTAAGAGAAAACAACTGTATGTCACAACACAAAATAGGTTCCTTGAATGAATTTTCTTTTGACATCTCCAAGTGGAAAACAACCCCCCCCCTGAAAATAGAAAAATATATATTTATAGATTTCTAGGAGATTTAAAAAACAATAAAATGGCTATTTTAAATAATTCCATTAATATTTTGGTAACAGGTTGTGAGATCTAACCTAGAATGGTTCATATTTTGTTACATCATGTTCTGTAGCTTATCAACTACAAGAGAAGAGAAGAGAGAAGAGAAGAGAAGAGAAGAGGAGTAGAAGTAGAGAAAAGAGAAGACTCACCATGCAGCTGCTGAGCTCCACCAAGCCAGGTTCAAGAAATCTGCCATGGTTGGCTAAATATAAAGAAATAAAGAAGTATGCTCTTAAACAGAACACAGTTGTTACTAGGAAGTAAATGTAGCACTTGGGAAATCCAAGCCCAGTGAACTGCTGTTTTTCATGTATTAATGGTGTAAATATCAATCCCTAATTTTCTTTCTCCATGAGTGCTGGGCTAATCCAAGTCTGAATTCCCTTGGGTGAGCAGAATGGCCACTCTTGGTAAATATAGGAGGTGCCTATTTGAAGGGGACAATTATACAATCCAGATGGTATCCATGAGGCTTGTTACATCAGAGTTGCCCTTTTCTAACCACTATCAGTGCTTCATCATTTACACATTCACATGTGTGGATTCTGGCCCTCAAATAGTGCTAGACGTTTTGCTATATCTCTTCTGCAATGCTTCTCTTTGCCACTCTTCCCTTCTAGAGTCCTGCAAGGTTATCAAATGCTTAATTAGTAAACCTGTAAATGTCTCTGCTGTTTTATAGCTATCAAACATGTAATGACATGTTTGTGTCCAGAAGGGCATTGTAGTGAAGCAACATACCCTTTAACAGGGGTGAAATGCTCCCGGATTGGACCGGATCGCCAGGTCCGGTAGCGATCTTGGCCGGTGGTTCGGCAATCCGGTAGTGATGGCAGAGCAAAGCTCCGCCCACCTGCCCAGGTGTCATTACTTCCTGGTTTTAACCAGGAAGTAATGTGTTTTTTACCTTCTGCACATGCACAGGTTTTGCGCGTGCGCAGAAGGTCTGAACGTGCAGTGTGTGTGCTTCCGAACCGGTAAGGAAGGTAAGTAGATTTCATCCCTGCTCTTTAAAACAATTGAATAGAAGAATGGAGAAGGAGTAGCAATAAGATCACTTAACAACAGGAAATTTTACCAGTGCCAAAAAATGGGGACAGATGGAAGTTGGTCCTCCTGCCTAAAAAAATAGAGACATGGCAGTTTGGCTTGGTCTACTAAGTTAATCAATCCTTCAAAAGGCTGATAAAGTTAGTCTGGCACAATTTGTTTGTGACAAATATCCTACTTTAACTCAAGAGGGGAAGTAACGTGCATTCCTCCCTGCTGAATTTTTATTTTTGGTCATTCATAGAGATTTTAAAGTTCTATTTGTCTCAACTGATAGTATCCTCCTCAGTCAAATGGACTGGCTTCTGATTTATATTTTTAGAGGGGGAGAAGGTTACCTTCTTCTTCCCCCTTCACTGGCTACTTTGTAAATTTAAATACTTGCCATTCAGTGATGTGAAACATATTTACACCTGTATACACAATGCTTCAATCAGGTAAGATCTGATAGCATGGAATCCTGACTCACCACATAGACCCCACGTGGTGCACTTCCTGTATTGCTTGGAGCTTCTGGAGCGCAGACAGATTGAAAGTCATAGGATTCTTTCTGTGTGAAGAATGAATTGTTGTAGAGAGCAGACATCAAATGGGCATCCACTTCACTGAAGAATTTTCCGACCTGAATATGGAACAGGAAAAAAGAACAATCATCAGTAATATCTACATCATGTTGCTGTTTGTAAAAATGTTATCGGTCATACGTTTTATACATAAATATGAGAAAACAATAATCAGTGAATGAACTGTATTAAGTAAACAGACAGTTATATTAGACTATTGAAAACTATAAGTTTGGCAATTACATAAATATCACTGTGAAATGAAGCAAGTATACCTAATTTTTTTTAAAAAAAACAAAAAACAGCTCACCTGATATTTGTAGTCTTCTTGGTTGGAGATCACCAGAAATCCACCATCATCAATAAGCACGCAAAGCAGATCCTGCAACATGGGAAGAGGGAGTGGGCGGCTGCAATGACATGGGAGTGTTGCTGCTATATTGTTTTTGCTTAAGGAGGGTACTGGCCTTTTCTCTCCCTTATTTTATTGCACCTTTTTGCTCCACATGCTTTTAAACACCCCTTTCCTTGGAATTTGCACAGCTCTCAGCTTACTTAGCTCTAGCATATTATTAAAAATTGAATTAAGAGAAACACTGGATCTTGAATGCACTATCTATCCATTTCTGTCTTTTGATTTTAGATTTCTTGATGTATTTTGTGATTATAATTTTTTATGTAATTGTTTAGTCTTGAGTATTATACCATGCATGTTTTATTGTTAATTCTTACTGATATCCACTGAGAGTAAATTGATGAGGAAGGCTTAAACAAACAATCAAACAAGGACATGAAACATCTTCCTGTAATCCAGACAGCGTAGTGATTTGGCACTGCTGTCTCTTACTTCTTTCAAGTTATGGAAGCTGACCTCTAGACTTGCATGGGAGGACAGCAACTCGTATAGGATCCAAATGCACATCCCTGCCAATCATACACACACATGTGCCCAAACATGTTTCACATACCTTTAAACCTTCATTTAAAATAAAGTGCTCTCAAACCACATTTAAAATCCATTTGACTTCCTGTCCTAATTCAAAAAACAAACAAAAAAAAAACGGCTCTCCAATCTACTTTTACAGTTGAACAATTCCTCCCTCTTTCCTATAATCCACTTTTAAAATAAACAGTTCTCCCCTCCCTTCTTTCATTTATTTGTATTGGTTAGCTGGCTCGCTGAATGATTTGCCGGGTTCTTCTACTGTGAAACCAAGAGTATTCGTTGTTGAAGGCACAAGATCAGGAGGAAGTATGTTTGAGAGCAAGAAGAAAGAAGATCGTAAGTCACCATCAAAGGAATAAGTTATAAGGAGGAACATTTTTAAAAGGCAGGCAAATGGTGGGAGCATGAAGCCTTTGCAACTTTCACCCAAGCATAGGTAGCATAAGATGTGCACATTCTAGTCTAGTTCATGGCTGGTTTTAAATCAATGAATCAATGGCAAGGTAGGGATGTGTAAATGGGTAAAGACAGCACCATCATTAACGTTTCAATCTTGGACATCAGTCACTACCTGCCCCTTCTCCAGAAGAATATTCTTTTGGTATCAGATGGGTCCTGATCCTGTTAGCTTTCCGTAAAGCCATCAAGACCTGATTGTTCTCAGTAGAACTTTGGATTCTGAATTGTTGCTGTTGTCTCTCTGAGTATGCATTAGTGTGTGATTGTGTATACGGGTTCCCTGTGTCCCTTGACACTGGGAATTTTTTTTGGTATAAAGTTTCTGCTTTTAATTATTACAATGATAGAGGTTTGTAACCTTGTTGCTGGTATCCTTAAGATTTATATTGACTGTTTCCCTATGACTATCATTAAGTGTTGTACCTTATGATTCATGATGAATGTATCTTTTCTTTTATGTACTCTGAGAACGTATGTACCAAGACAAATTCCTTGTGTGTCCAATCACACTTGGCCAATAAAGAATTCTATTCTATTCTATTGTAAGCCTTTCAGAGCCAGACGTGACTGTAGCAGCATGGGTGCCTAGCAAATAAATATACAAACAAGGAAGCTTATTACAGGTTACAGATGGCCTATTGACTGAGCAAAGGCAACATCCTTGCCTTCAACAGAAGACGGAGTATAAATTTCTGAATGTGCAATCCAAATCGCAAACTCCTACTGTATACTGTCAATTTGAAAAAAGAAGTATCCTAGGTGGCAATGTTTACATTTTTGCATTAGTTGCTCTGGGCAGCAGATATATCAAAAAGCCTGCTTTTAGGGAGGGGTGAAGGCATTGTCCTCTGCATCATAACGTACTGTAACTTTTGCAGTCCTACTCAGTATTTCCAGAAGTCAATTTTAAATTGCTTACTTTCTGAATTTTAAAAATCAAGTGGGTTTTTACATAGTCTCCTGGGCCAGAAGGAGTCATGCAATGATGTTGCAGCTATTTACCTTGTCATTAGTATCACAGTCCATCTCACAGCTTGTGGAGAGGTCACACTGCAAACCAAAAGAAGAAGGCAAGAAAATTAAGGGAATTCTAGACAAATCTTAGCACTGATTTATTTAAATCCACATTATGTCTATAAATCATTCATAATCACTTTCTAACATTTCTATGGATTGTTAAGAATGGTAAGAAAGGAAATGTCCCAAGATAATTTCAGTGGTTACCTGCATTCTATAACAGTAATGCTGTACAGTATGAGGCATATTTCAATACTATTTGGAAATGTAAATTTTTTCTGGTTGTGTTTGCCACCTTTTAAGCTGTGATTTGCTAAGTAAAATACACCTAGTTAAAAGATCTTTACTGGTTCCAGTTAATGTGTAGCAAAATTCAGTTTTTGACCAATTAAATGACTTTAAATGAAGATATTTGAAAAACTCCATATAAACCTGGGAAGAGAGCATGTATTTATGATGGTTGCAGGATCATGTGATCACCATCTGCAATCTTCCCAGCTGGCTTCCCAAGCAAAGTTCGTCTTAATGACCACATGATTCATTTATGTATAAATGGCAAGAAAAAATATAGAGGAAGTAAATTAATTTGGCTGAAAATTAAGATGAGAAAACAGCTAGAGAAATTTATTACTATTAGTGTACAATTTTCTACACCAGTGTTCCTCAACCTTTCTAGGTTGGTGGCCCGGCATGTGGGGGGGGGGGCAGGATAAGAGGGGATGGTTTTGTGTGAGGGACAGGAGTGTGAGTGGGGCTGCCAGCTGCAGACACCCACCACTTGCCCGAGTGGGGCTGCTTGCTCTGGCGCTCGCCACTCGCCTGGTGCGTACGGCACACATATGCTGATTTGCAACTCATGCCACCCAGTTGCGAATAGGTCATGGCCCAGTAGTGGGCCATAGCCCACAGATTGGGGACCCCTATTCTATACTAGAGATTACATGGCTTAGAAAATGTATATCTATATAGGGAATATTAACTATGTTTCATATGATCATGAGACTAATACAAAAAATACCATTTTCATGTTTATTAAAACCACAAAGTGTTTTATTTTAAAAAGAGTTAATTGTCTTGCTGTTGTGCTGTTTGGTTTGATATTCATCCATTTGTTTACACAGTTTTACAAAATTCAATTAGTTTTAAATATGTGAATATACTTTTGAAACATATCACACTATGAAGAATTATGAATTTATCAACATGGGGACTGGAAAAAATAAACTAAACTATTGGACTGGCACATTAATCCCACATTTACTATCTTGAATAATCAATACATATTTGCTTTCTTTTTATGAATTGATTCTGTAGCAATATAATGAAAAGATTAATATGGTACATGATACATGCTTAATGAGGTGTTTAAAATTAAACTGAATGATTTTTGTATGTATTATTATTTATTTTTAATAAGATTTATAAGGCCACCCAACACAAACAGCATAGTTCTGGGTAAATTAGAGCATAAAAAACAAGCAATACTCACCCAACCTACAACTTTAAAACATATACAATATAAAAATAGAAAAGGCAAAATATAAAAGGCAACCAAGCCACATAGAATATTAGGTTGGGACATATAATATAGTACATTTTTGTTGTTTCCTTTTGTCCTTTTATTGTCTTTATATATTTTAATTTTTTCTCTTCTTTTTCTTTTATTGTATATTAATGCAATATTTATTTTTTTATTTATTTTGAAAACAGAAATTCTATAGCTCCAACCATGCTCAAGATCCTAGAATTGTTTCTAGGAATACAACACAACACAATACAACACACACACACACACACATACACACAGATTACTTACTCTTCGTGTTTTCTGCTGATCTGTTTGATTGCTAGCAAGGACTTTAAATTTTTGTGTCCAGGCCTCCAAATCAAGTTTTACTCCAACCACTGGGAAGGAGAAAATTTTTTATTTTTTCATTTGCAGATAGAAAGTTTAATCTAGGAATATGAATGTAAACACATTTGTTTATTGATCTACATAATTTTCATATTTTTCTCAGATCTAGCACACATGTCTATAGAATTTGTGCCAGCTCAGAAGCAATAAATGAGCAACCTAGTGACTTTCAAAACATTGATAATATTGAAGTTTAAAATCTATTTGTACATTTAAATAATCTTATGAATTAGATTAGACTTTGTCTCTAGGTTATCTTAAAAATCTCCTCTGTTGTTCTTATATGGCATAATTCTATAAGAACACGAAGAGTTACACAAACCAACACAAATTCTATATACACATCGGCTATGTCCGAGAAGATAGCTGTCCAACATAATTGCACTGAAACTCACATTTCAGAGGAGGTGGTAGGTGTATATGGAAATATGGAATGGTTGTAGTTGTAGAGCTCCAGAAAGCCTATGCTGAACTAAGGCAGGTTAGATGGAATAGAATAGGATAGAAGATCTTTGGGAGAAATCTCTAGATTACCTTACCTGCTGGCTTCAGATGCCTCTCTGCTATATTGAGTTCTACAGCTGTGCTAACTAGGATCCCAACAGCACTGCTTTCTGGCTCTGATCCTCTGTAGTTGGCTATTTAATGAGAAGAGGGAAAGAAATTAGCATTTTCTGATGGATAATACTGCATGACTGCTACAAGAAACTCTGTGGGCTAGAAAAAACAATATGATAATGGACTATTTTTATGGTTTCATGAATATTTGTCTTCCTGCCAATGCTTACTTTCCAATTCACTTTAACAACAAAATAAAAGGCTGCTTTTTCGATTCTGCTATTTAGTAATTAAGGTCTTAAACTACATCCATGGCTTCTATGTTATCACAAGTCTATCAAATTCTAACAACAAACATGGCAAAAATTAAATAAGAACCATAAAATATAAATAAGGCCAAAGCAATTTATTTCCCATGATTTGATGACTGAATGCTTCCTTCCCCCACTCCTGACACATACCCCTACATATCAGAGATCAAATATGGTAAGAGTTTTCTTATAGAACAGTGTTTCTCAACCTGAGCAACTTTAAAATATGTGGACTTCAGTTCCTGAGATTAAGTCAGCATGCAAACCATCTTGAACAAGAGTTTTGTTGCAATCTCCTGGAGCATCATATTTATAAAGACTATCCAAATTGAAAATACACCAAAACTGCCTAGCGATGTTCTGCAAGATTTTACTTACGATCTTGGTAAGGAGGCTTAAAGATGTAGCCTTTATTATCTAGGCTCCTTCGATAAAAGCTGGCATTGAAGGGCTCTCGGTCTTCTTCCCAATCTTCAGCAGCTCTTTCATAGAAATCAACCACACCCATAGAACATTATAAATTTCATTTTTCATAAATGTAGGCGGAAAATCAAGTATATGCATAAAAGTTCTAATGAGTTTTTAAAGAGGAAATCTGCTCTTCAGACGTCAAAACCTCAGATATTCATCAAACATATTTCCTATAATTTTTTCAATATGTAAATAAAACAACTATTTAACCCATGAGATTATAAAATGGTAATAGGGACATGTCTTAATGTCACTTGAATTGCCTTTTAAAAATGAATTGAGTTACCAGTATATCATTTCTTTTAGAAGATTGCAGAAAAATCCCAAACTAAATCCTATCAACTTTTTTTTTTAACTGGGACAATAAAATAATTTTCATTTTGCATAAAGCTGAGTGCTTGACAAATCTATTATTTTTGTTTTTCCAAGCATATAAAATATCAGGATATTTATGAAGTCCCTAAAATGTTGCACTTGGTTTGGGAAGTATTAAGTAATTTTATTGCCTGGCACTTAGGCATTTAAGGCAAATCAGTAAGAATACTCTTTGAAAATGGTAGTTAACACAGCAAATTTTTGTCTCCTACAGGATACAAGTCACAGTAATCTCATGATTTTGGACAGTTTTTCAATTTCATATCACAATTCAGATGTCCAAAAGTAGTGTTGTTGTTTTTTTTTTGTAGGAGACGCACTCTCAAAATTCTTGCAGAAACAAAAGGCTTGTTCACATTTAAAAAAAACAAATAGAGGAAATAAAAATTGGTGGCTTCATTAGAGGAAACTTTTTTTCAATGCTGTCTTTCTTCAATTGTGGTCAGGCGGGGGCCCAACAATTTTCTCTCTCCTTTGACCTACTCAGAAGAATCTGGAAAGTGGTTTTGATATCAGGAAGTCACAAAATAGACCATACATGTAATTCTGTGATGATTTCCAGAGGACCAACATGGATTGCAGAGACCAAAAAGTTGAATCTATCTGTACACAGATGTTTATCAATCACAATACCACAACAACAAAAACTTACTTGTTAGGGAAAACACGGGTGATGCCACCATCTGTGGCAACAAACACAGCTAGGAGACTATATCTGCAGTAAGATAGAAATCAAAGTGAAAATTTAGGAATAGGGTGGCACACTCAAAATGTCCTGCCTTTCTGACAATCATTGAAATAAGATCACATGATTGTGAATTAGTTTTTTGTTGCAAGAGATCAACGAGAAGCAGTTTATATAGCATCTGTACAAGCCTAGGCAAAGATGCAGCTGCTTTAAAAATTAAAAAAGAGATGTTTCAAGTGAGCTTCTGAATCACCCCTTTCAAAAGATTTGTATAACTCTATCTACCATTAATTTTCAACATGGTCTCCAGGCCATGTAATTTAGCTTATATTAACACAGCTGAAAGCTTCACATTGTCATGGAAAACCTCTTTACAAAAAGATGCAATTAATCTGCACTCAATTGAATAATATCACTAGCATGTCTCGGAAGTTTTATTTACGTGCTTAAATCTTGATTCTTCCATACTGTTTCCACCAGCTGTTGTGTAATTCCAGTGTCCAGGATAAGGTTGTGAAGAAGGAAGTTGTCACCTTAACAGAAAGAACAAATATTCCAAAACCAGAAGTTTGCTTACCTGAATAGCCACTAGAATTTCTTCACTCACCGTTTTACTCACAAAAAGGCAATTGAAGGCAATACCAAATCTCTCCATTATTCAGTAATTTAGATTCAGGATGCCCTAATCTAAATTCTTTAGAGGTATTAAACTGCCTTAAAAAAAAAAAAGGTGTACATTTCTCAATGTTTTTGGAAACTCTTCTCAGTACCGGAAATCAGCCAGCTCAGGTCTCTGGCTTTTCTTGCTGTTCTGAGTTGGAGATGGTAAATAATGTATTTCTGTATCTTATGCATACAGAGGCAGATTCCTAGAGTACTGTCATATTTCTTTTGGGCCATACCAAGTGTAATAAAGCAACATAGTAAAACTACATTTCCATATTTGACAGATATGGAAGGGGATTGACTGAACCACTTCCCTTGGGAAACATACTTTTAACACCTAAAAGATACTTGATCAATACCTGTCCATAAAGGAAGAGAATACCATGAGTTTTGTTTCTTAGTTGCTCAGTTGCACTAATTTACACTGAGAAATCAGGCTGGCTATGTAATGTAGGGTTTGTTTTAATGAAGTATCTTATGACATCTTATAGTCATAAACTCAGAGAGCTCTAACCGCTGATGAAATGTGACCTGGTTCCAGCCAGATCATGCCTGAAGAAGTCCATATGCCTATGATCAAACGTAGGATTGGCAAGCAACATTATCCAATGACTGCATACTTTTTAAAAGATAAGTCCCATCGATTCCATTTGGACAAGCTGATTATACATGTACAGGGCTACATTACAACTCTTAACTGTGGTGGCTAATCATTTATAATAGACTTTCACAATCAAATATTCTCCAGAACAGCCCCCGGTGGTTGGGAATTCTGGAAGTTTTAATCCAATGCATCTGGAGGTTGCTACAAAGTTGAATTACATCCTTGTTTTATGAAATCCACCTTACCATAAGATAACAATTCCCAGATACAAAAGAAACACATCTTAACACTTTATTTAAACAAACATGAAACTTTATTTAAATAGCCTATTTTTGGCAACTTTGCCCCACCCCATCTTTAAAAATAGATTTATTTATTTATTAATCCATTGCTGCCTAGTAATGGATTCGCCTGGGTTCTCTCACTCACAAAACCTGAAAGCTTTCTTGGGATGAGACTTTCTGTCCACCACAGGCCTTTGGGGTACTTACATTGTTTGGAGTCAGGCGTCACCTTTTCCATGAGGGCAATAAAGTTTTCCAGGAATTCAGTGTTGTTATCCGACAGGTTGAGGTCTTTGCAATATTCTCTGGGTTACGAGGAAGATTTGTCGATTGGAAGGATGAAAAAGTTGCGGTTAGTTTTCTTTCTCTCAGAATTGGCCTAATCATGTGCTCAGCACAGGTGAAGCAGCTACTCAAACTAGCTGGGTATGGTTAAGACAATGAAGGTGGGAAATATGTGGAGTTATTCAGTGGTGGGATTCAAGTAATTTAACAACCGGTTCTCTGCCCTAATGATTTCTTCCAACAACCAGTTTGCCAAACTGCTCAGAAAGTTAACAACCGGTTCTCCCGAAGTGGTGCGAACTGGCTGAATCCCACCACTGCAGTTATTTAATGAGTCATATCCTCACCACCACCATCTCTGCTCAGAAATATGATTTTGTGTTCAATGTGCATCTCATTATCAATATTTAGGGCTACTCGACCTTTATTTTTATAGATGTCTTAAATCTTAAGTCTTATATGGGTAGAGAAAGAAATATGCGTAAGAATCTAGTATGTTTCAAATCTAATATAATGTATAATATATTATATTAGATATATAATATAATAAGTGTATAATATGTACTAGTGAGTCTGAGAGTTGGGGTGATTGTATGAATGGGTTTTATGCCATGGCTCACAGTCTGCTGAGAAAGACTGTTATTTGGCCTTTTCACACTGGTGTTACAGCACCTCTCAAGAGTAACCAGAAGGCTATAAAATAATACAAAGTCAATTTATGAAAGTGCAGTAGGAAGCCTTTGGTAAATTATTGGCTATATAAAAACCTGTGGCATAACTCTTTTCTGTTATTTACTGATGTCATAAAACACCACCTGAATGGTTTCTTAATGCCACCTAAAGTACAGCACACAGCACTGAGTAGTACTATGCATCACTGCATTTTCAGATTTCTGCAATAATTGTGCCACTCTATTTCTCTAAGAACTTACTAGCTTACTTTAATTCCTCCAGGGTTTGCAACTTAATTAAACTCTTGATCTGCTTTTGTGAATTTCTATAGACATCAGTCTTTACTATGATTTTCAACATGGCACTTATATAGAAGCGTGACCGTGCTAGTTATAAAAAAACCCCTCTATTTTAATCAAGTATTGGAAAATAGCCTCATTTCTTTCCACTCCCACTCTTTCTTCTAGCGTTCACTGTAGCTTTCACAATGAAGTTGAGGGCAGGGGAAAGAAAGCAACACTTTAAAAAGGAGGATCCATATATAAGCCGTGAGATTCCTCAGTGAGATGCTAAGGGTGCAGATTTGATATTATGGTATCTGGTCCTTTTAGAGCAGCAATGGGGAGCTTGTGGATTTCCAGGCGTTGCTGCAACAGAATTCTGAGCTAGGATGGTCAGTTGTAAACGATGTCAGTAATGGAGGTTGATCAATATGCTGACCTAAAAAGCCCACCACTTCTCTAGAGGGAGCAGCAGAACTCAAGCTGTGAATATTATTATTTTTTCATTCTAGTATTGATATTTGATAGCAGGTAATAAGTGAGTAATCTGGGACAAAGCTAAATTTCTTTACTGTCTCCTAAATAGGACTATCTCTTGCCCACTTTATTTAGATTGTTTCTGAAAATTGTATGCATCCCCAAATAAACCCTATTAAAAGCATGAAGATAAGTAATAGTTATCTCCAAGCTAAAAGATATATGCAGTGCCAGTTACTTGATATAATGGATCAATTTATACAGCCTTAAATCTATCTCACTAAAACTATTCCAGATATCTTTCTAGACTCACTTTCAGCATCTTTTTAATGGTTCCTTTCTGACATGATTCTGTTATAGGACTTGACTGCTTTATTTGCAATTCAGAAAGAAATCTCTCCCCATTGCTTCAACAATGGCACTGCTTTTTTCTTATCTACGTATAATTTTTTCTAACAGTAAAAGTTAGTCTAAGATGATGTGATAGATATCAACCAGTTTTCTAAAAAAAAATCAGATGATATCAGGTCTTGTTTTTTAAACTCTTCCAAACAGATTTTTGATGGTAAATGGATAAAAGGTGAAACTGTAAATTAACATGCGGATCCTATTTCTCCAAATATGAATTGGCTGTATGATGGTAACATCAAACAATATTGCTAATGAAACTACCCCAATCTGGCACCTTCCTGATGTGTTGGGAAGTTCCGTAATTTCCAGCCAGCAGAAGATTCCAAATTTAGGAAGCCAAGGAGAATTGACAGGAAGGGGACAAAAATGTTAATTCTTCCTTTGCCCATTAATTCAGTCCACAACCATTCTCTCCTTTCTACTGTATATATTTGTAGTTTTAGTTTAATAATGAAAATTGGAAGAAGAGTTGTTGAATCAGTATTGTGAAGATGGATTAATTTATCATCTTTCTTTCACTTATCTGATTGCTGCAGCGTTATGAAATGTATCCAGGATGGGAAATGTCTTTCTTATGTATGGTTTTCTTAATAGATTGCTTGAGTTAAGCAGATATAACTTAAATGGAAGACACTCATTCTAATTAGACGGTTGACTTCTTGAATGGCAACAACTGCAGTCCAAATCATATACCAGTGTATTTGTGCCTGTTTATATGCAATATGCATGTAGTACTATCTATCTGTCAAGGGATGCTACCCAATTCAAATGTCTATGGAGGTTCTCAGTCATCCAAGTCATGGTTGCCCCAAAGGTATGCTTTTCAAAAGAACTGAAGAAGTTTCTTTGATGAGAAGCAAAACACCTTCAAGGAAAAACAAAATCCAGTTGCCTTTTGAAAAAGCATATTTGGGACTACCAAATTCAAGTGTAGTCAGGAGCATTGGTGAATTAAGCAGGACAAGATCCCAGGGAAAACAATAAGTTAACAAGTTTGGTGATTGGAGCCTGAGTTACTATCTTGAGAGGTGCTGAATCTGGAGGCACAATTGCATTGTTTCTTGCTTTTGCTCTTTGGTCTTGAGTATGGGATTTTAAATGAGGGATAAAAATACTTACCTCTCTCTTAATGGAAAGAGGAGAGATGTAGGTTCAATGATTTGTGAAAAGAGTAGAAAATTGTCTTATCTATAATGTTTTGATTCAGAATTCAGATGGAAAGAATCCATCTTTCCCTTAAAAGATGCTAAGGCCAAAGTTGCAAATTCTAGCAAATTCATATCTATTTCATCACCTATTGCACAACTTACCATATGCTCTCATTAGATATGATCTCTTCGTTTATTGTGGTCACAGTCCAACTCAATAATTAAAATCGGTGTCACTATTCTTTCCTTTTTGATTTTTTTTTGGGTGGGGTGGGGTGGAGGAGGATAAAAGTCACCCATGTTTAGTTGACTTTATATTAAATATGAAAAATGTTTCTTCTCTGAAACTCCACTTTTTGAGAAAGTGGGGGACAGGATAGGAAAGAGTGGAAGAGGGACATATGAGAGAAAACACTAAAGATCTGGCTTACTTGTGGAACAAAACAAGATTCCACAATGCACAGCGATTGCCAGGACAGTCACAAGTGAATCGCTCTTCACCATAGCAATAGAAAACAGGATGGCCAGCCATGCTTTACTCCAAGATTATGCATCGAAATACTGATACAGACACATATAGAAACTGTAGACATATCTGTACCTTTCATTTAGACAGATAGGTGCTGGCATTTGCTTGCAAGAGTATATGCACATGCAGTACTGAGCTTTATATATTAAACTATTTATCAACTTGGTCTTTTTAATGGGTTAACTTGTCTGTAAGATTGTACCTTGCTGTGAGTCTATGCATCTGCAGATATAGACCATTGTGAATTGTAAAGATATATAACAAAACTAGGCTTGTTCCCATCACCATTTGCATTATCTTCGGGAGTTTTTATTCAACTGATGCAACCAAGTTTGCATGATTTAGTTTTGCATTGCCAGTTACCAAAGTCTGGGGTTGGAAATAGAATGTGTGTGTGTGTGTGTGTGTGTGTTCCTGCTTCTTTATACCGTAGCTTTCAGAATTAAATATTAAGAAATAATTTAGAACAGGATAGGGACTGCAATTTAGAGAGTGATTTTTCTGGGTTCATGACAAATGTCACATGGGACATCTCACCAGGTGACCAGATGTAAAATATGATAGTATCTTGTATCTTTTAACAGCCATGTAACTGAGGGGATAGCGATGGGTGTAATTTGTTTAAGGCATCTGTCACAAAAAGTGGGTTCAATGCAAATGCCTGTCCATGTATAAATGGAACAAGTAAGTAGATAAAACTACTTAGCTACGTTGCACAGGCATCTTTGGCACAAAATCAGTAAGTCCCTTAAAAGGTTGGTTCAAACAGAGAGTTAATGAGTTTGAACCAAGGAGCAGGTCCAGTATGCATCTCATTTGTTAGATCTAACAAAATGAATGTGTATGAAAGCAGAACCAATTAAAATATATTCTGTAGAGTAGCTGGATAAGATTTGACAGTCACCAGTTGTTTGTTAACAACTTTTTCATAGAAATAAAATACAAGTTTATTTAGCTTTAATAACCTTTCGATTTTCCATCACTATATGTTAATGCAACATAAAATCCTGGGCCGCCCAGTTTATTTTGCTTCTTGAAGAGCTATATATATATCTAAACATATATATAGAAAGAGATACATATACACAATATTTTATCCACCTATGTATCTACACAGATATGTACAGATATATGTGCTTGCACACCCACAAATAGATTATCAGTGATATATGGTTTCTGAAAATTACCATGGACTATTGGCCATATTAGTAATGATGAGACTTCACAGCGTATTGCCAAGCATTATTGGGGCTGAAAGGCTAATAAATAGTGTAGCTGGAATTAAAGGAATGTCATAAGTAATCACTAGGAATGAATGCTTGCTAAAACAGAAGCCTGTTTGTTCTGATATAATCATACATCTGCATTTCTTAACCTCTGATAGCTTCCAATGGACTACATGACACCTTGCAAAATTGACAATAAGGCTATATTGGTCATCTTAGTTGCCACTGGGGGGAGGTGTGAACAAACAAATATAAAAGGAATCAGGTTGGGAAAAGCTGCAGGATAATAAAAAGTCTTTCCCCTTTATTTTATGACTCGCTATGCATTTTATAAAAAAGGACATATTCTCAAAAAAATCTTAAACCTAAAAATTTGAACATAAACTATAGTTTATATGTCCCACAGAAATCATGTATTTCTATGCTGGACAGTGTTCAGTGCAGAAAAAGATACCCATTAGTAATGATAATAGGGTGATCACATCAGGAGTTCAAAAATTCAGATAACCAGTAAATGATGACAGCAAAGAAACATAGAAGACAAAGGCCTTTGGTAGCTATCTGGATTTTTGTATCCCAGATTTGGTAGGCCTAAATGATTAAAAACCAGGAATTTTACAGCTCTCCTCGTGTACTATCAACTCCAAATGCAAAGCACTGAATGCAACAAATGTCAGTGAATCCCATTCACTGAAGTTGCTAAACTAGAATCAACAGAATTTAAGAAAATAGATATACTTCCTCATTCATCCAGGTAGAGTTATCTGGAACTTGAATCTAGACTTTTCTTTTTTGGCTTGAAAAGCAGTGACAATTTTCACCCCACCCCAAAAAGAAGTCCAGTTGAATGCTAGTTTCTAAGCAACCCTGCTCAATAAGACCAGTACAGAATGGTGCTATTTGGATTGGTTCAGCATTCTATGGAGGGATAGAGTTTTCTTATCCCAATTTAAAAAAAAAAATCTTGTATGAGTCTCATGCATTTTTAAGACTGCAATCCTATAAATACTTACCTGGGAATAAAGTCCATGGAATACCTCTAAATATTTATGTATAGGATTGCTTTTAGAGGCTTTTAGCGGCTATGTATAGGATGTCATAGCGGCTTTAAAAAATGTTGGAATGTCACCTATCCATTGTATTATAATGCCTTATATAAAGCGGAATTTGTGAAAAGGCTATTAAAATGGCATTTCTTCCATTTTCTTACTGCATATACGATGACTGGAGCCTGAGTTACCAGAAGAGGCCCAGTTTACTGCATCTTTAAAAGTCTGGGTAGAAGGTTTTTTTTTTCTTTCTGATAGCATGGCATGCTTTCCTGAGACTCTGATTTTCTCTCTTCTAAAGAAGTATTAAAGATGTCCAGTAAGAGCTCCATCGGTATTTGTATTTGGCCATCTGTGGTTGGGGGAGCCAAATAGGTTTCACCATTGCAAATGATTATCACAAACAGTGGTCATTATAATTTCATCTGGATCAGTGGTGAAATCCAAATTTTTGGATTTCGGATCTGTGGGCATGGCTTGGTGGGTGTGGTGTGGTTTGGTGGGCATGGCAGGGGAAGGATACTGCAAAATCCCCATTCCCTCCCCACTCTTTGGGGAAGGCTATTGCAAAATCTCATTCCCACCCCACTCTGGGGCCAGCCAGAGGCGGTTTTTGCCAGTACTCCGAATTGCTCAAAATTTCCGCTACTGGTTCTCCAGAATCTGTCAGAACCTGTTGGAGTTGACCCCTGATCTGGATGCCAAATATATCACCAGTTTATGAGATGTGGGCTGATGTTGTGCTGCCTTTAAATCTAACAAGAATTATTTATTTATGGAATATGGAATTCTGTCACTTCTTCCCCTCTCCAGTTTTATCCCCAAACTGTTCTGTGAATGTAAACCTCCCCTAGTCTAGTGTAATATTCTGATCACTGGACTTGGCAACAAATGTTCTGTTCTGTAGATTTGAAATAATTAAATTTGAAAGAATTGAAAGAATAAATTTTGATAGAGTAAGGCTAACAAAATGCAGAGTTTTTGATTTTTATGTATGGTATTACTATAGAATAAGTCAATAGTAACATTGTGTAGAGGGCAAAGGGAATAGCCTTGAAGGACAGGAAGAAATGCCGCTACCAAGTCAACAATCAGATAAGAGGGGCTTGAACCTAGACAAAGAAAATAACATAAGGAAACATCTCAGACAAGCCCCTCCCTAGTTCACACAAAGGTAAAGTGAGGAAGAGGGAGCACATTCAGACTTGCAAAATTTCTACTATCACAGCTGTCGCAATAAAAGTAGTCCTGATCAATATGATTTCTTAGGCTGGGCTAATTTAAAGATGTTTTGGTGGAATTTTTCCTTACATGATATCATGATCTCAATAGGATCGAAACATGGCTGTCTACTGTTTTTTTTTTTTTTGAGGATTTTCAGAAACTATACCTATATATGTGTGCTACATATGTATCTCATACGCAGCCATACACACATATATATTCTTCTTATGTAGGTGAGTGAACAGAAGGTGGGACAGCTATGCTGCCGGCCGCCAATGGTAACACAATGTAGTGTAGGTGGCGGCAATCATAGTCCCCGAGACTGGCACACAGGCAGACAACAGACACACAAAAAAAGAAAGAAATGATCAAGACATTGGCACAATGAGGAGGTATATCAGTTCCAAAGGGGTCAGGAGTGATGGAGTAGAATATCTGAAGGTGTGGCAGGGACGGAAAAAGGGTTGGGGAAGGGGAGTTGAACCACTCCCAGGATCGGTGGTTAAATGGACACCTCAGCAAGCTCACACACAAAGCTACCTTGGAGCAATGAATACATGTCCCTCGGACTCAAAGCTGTTTGGCAGCAGGTATTCAAAATCTGCAACAGAAAGGTAACATTATGCGGCGGGGAGTTGAAATGAGGGAAGAAGGCAGCTTCGGTTTCAGAAGATGACAGAGCCAGAGCAAGAGGAAATGGGGCTGGGGGAGAGAGAAAGAGAAAAGAGACAGGAATAAACAGAAGAGGCAAAACCACTGGCTCGTTTTAACAAGAGAGAAAGGAGAGAATACACTTTGGGTGCTCAAGTCATACCAGAAGAAAGTGATAGCCAATAAGTTGCCAACATTGAGTGGATTTGGAGGGTTAATCATATATAATTAAAATTCCATAATCTGTAATTAAATATATTTGGCAGATTGTATATATATGTATATATAAATATTGATTTGGGACTATATATAATTATACCTACACACATATATATCTTCATACTTATATATATATATAAACACATATATATATGTATGTTTAGTAGGTCATGTGGATATCTCTCTCTTATTATGAAATTACAAAGAAAAGAAATCACATGCTCTGCTCATACAAAAAGAGAATTACTAAAACAATATTTTCTAAGAAAAATTATTTTTCAGGCATCAACATGGCCAAACCAGGGTCCTTTATGAAGACAGTCCAACCAAAGACTTACCCATAGCTAGAGGTAAAACACAATGCATTGTAGAGAGTGCAGCTGCTGTCTTTTCTAATAGACAAGAGTTCTCAGAGCATTGCAACAGCCATCCCTCCTTGGTTAGAATGTGCAACAGCCTTCTGACTTCCATAGAAGCAACTTATGTAATCAAGTCAACTGTGGAGCATTAAACATGGTCAATATTCCAAGAGAATATTGAGCTCTGATAGTTAAGGCACCAGGCTACAAACCAGGAGACTGTGAGTTCTATTCCTGCCTTAGGTATGAAAGCTAGTTGGGTGACTTTGGACCAAACCCACACACACTCTCTCTCTCAGCCCAACTCATCTCACAGGGATGCTATTATGGGGAAAATAAGAGGAGGAAGGAGTATTAATATGCCAAAAAAATAAAATAAAAGTGGGATATAAAGAGATATATTGTACATTTTTATCAGTAAATGGTTATTTATTAAAATGAGGAACAGGTATGTTACTGGGATAAAGTGTTAGATTAGGAGCAGAGAAACCCACACTGAAGTCCACCTTTCAAGCATGAAAACTGGATGACTTCGGGGACTTCACAGAGTTTTTTCTTGGGAAAAATGGAAATTGAGAGGCCTATATAAGCTACCGTGAGCTCCCCAAGAAAAGCTGAGATGTGAATTGAATGAATGAGTAAATGACTGAATCAATTAATAAATAACCACTATTAAAGTGTAACTCTGGAACAGCAAAATAGGACCAAAGATATATTTAACACACTTAGCACAAGCATATGCAATGGTACTCACTAGTAGTGGTGCAGGTATTGAACATGATCCATAGTTTTCCAGAAAAGTAATGATGCCTATACTGTAATCTGTACGTTACAAATGTTTTTCATTTTGTTATTTGGTTTTCTATGAGCTGATTAATTTCCAGTAAACTTTTGGTATGCTCCTTAAATTCTTGCCAGATGTTATCATATTCTGAAAATTTGCAAGTTTCCTCACATTTAATTCTCACTATCCGAAAAAGAGAAGTTAAGAATTCTTGCGGCATAAAACAGAGATAGAAGAATCCCAATGTCCTGAATTTCTATTGTTATAGGGAAAAGAGAAAAAAGGACAGGAAGTACTGTTATACTTTATTGAAATTCTGTGTTTTATAATATTATCCTATATATCAGGTGTGTCAAACTCCAGGCCTGTGGGCCAGATTCAGCTCGCCGGGTGCTTAGATCTAGCCCGCAGGGCCGACCTGGAAACAGCAAAGAACCGGCCCACGGTGCCTCTGCCAGCAAAAACAGAGTGTGGGAGGATCGTGTGCAACCCTCTTGTGCTCTGTTTTTGTTGACAAAGGGTTACAGGAGGCTGTCCCAGCCAAAAATGGAGCTCGGGAGCCCATTTTCGCTGGCAGAGCACTTGGGCCACAGATGCCCCCAACACAAGTGATGATAAGCTGGCCACACCCACCCTGGCCATGCCTACCCCAGCCCCCTGAGGTCAAACATAACCCTGGTGCGGCCCTCAATGAAATCTAGTTTGACACCCCTGCTATATATGTTCTACTCACACATATCTCAGGTAAATAGGATTATAAACTCAATTTAAGATATGCTTTAGTGGCCTCTAAAACATAACTAAGCTAAACTAAGCTAAACTAAGCTCAGCTAATCTAAGCTAAACTAAACATCTTTATCATTGCTTCTGCCAAATGACCTTGCTAAAATGAGTGAGTTCCTCTAAAAAATTATTTTTATGAGAAACAAAGTTTTTTAAACTAGAATTGACATGCCTTCTACACATTACGGGACATCTGTCCAATAGCATTGCTATTTTCCATCGAATTATGTATAATCTTCATCCGTTTCATTCCTGACCTCTAGGAATAATTGTTGGAAGCCTGTGCCATACATGATGCCATGAGAAAAAAAAAGAACTGAGTGCAATCATCACAATGCTGTTACTGTGCTTCAAATCCTTGAATTACCTTGTGCAGCACTTTCATGTACGGTACTGTAATTCTTAACAAGTATGGTAAGTAAAATGAAATCCTATGGAATCTCCTTGGCCAATTTTCACAGAAAATGATTTCCAGGACCATTTCTGAAACTAATTTGTGAGACAGAAAATAAAAAGCAATGCATAGCAATTTATTTAACTTGTACTCTAGAAAAGTGGTTCGGAACTATACCACTGTTACTGCTGTCAATGGTTATTGATGGAGAATCAACATCTATAACTCACTGATTCTCTCACGCTTCTGTCCAAGATTCAGACTGAAATAAATCCAAAAAATCAGATCCAACCAAAACAGTGCACCCAATTTTCTACTTGATCAGATTTACTGAGAGCTTCAATCTAGACAGTTTTCTACGCTTTTATGGTTCTTTCAGAGAATAATCTTAAAGCAATAGTTCCCTTGGAATCTTGATACAATAAAAAAAAAAAAACAATTTTAACCCGGGCATAGTTTAGTTGAACTTTTTTCTGGATAGCTCATAACCATCATTTAAGAAGGCATCAAACAGGCATGTATTGGGTTTCAATAATATTTCAAATAATAACAACTGAAGGTTTGCAATTGGATTTTATCTGGCTATTGTGTTTTTTGTTTTCTTTCCCTTTTGACTTGAGAGGAGGGTGAGGAGACTTTTGTGCTGCAAGACCCGAGAAGTTCAGGACAAGGCAGGGATTTTCACCCATTGTTTTCAATGTTTCAGAAGAAAAGACATAATTTCCAATGTGCTTCTAACAGACTGAAAAGTGAAAACAATCGTGGTATGGTTTGCTCTCCTGGTTTATTTTTTTTTAAAAAAATATTAATGCCGCTCTTTAAAAGTAATAAAAAATTAATATTTAGGAAGCATTTTTTATCAAAGAAACAATCATTTTGGATCATGTTTCTCTTTTCAGTAACCCTACATTGCTCCAGAACGAAGTATTCCACTACAAACTATTTAAATGGAATAGGTTCATTATCTCCTTTATTGAAAATTACAGAATGCATATCAGTTCCATCTATTCACCCCTAATCATATGATGGGTGATACTTTAATCTGGATTATTTTGGTATTAAAAAGTAATAATATTTTTTTAAAAAAGGATCACTGTGAGGCTGATTCATTAAGATCAGGACTAAGAAATTTGTCCATATCTTCAACTCCTAACAAATCCTTCATTATCTTCTCCTCTAGCCAATCCAATCTGCAAACATCAACCTCTGCCAGGCTCATTGGCACTCTAATCACAATCCCTATGGCGCCACAACATTTAGCAATAATTAACACTCTACACTTGGCAGCAAGACTGCAAACATATATAATTGACTGCACAGAAGAATTTATTCTAAATTAATGGCTTAGCTAAAAAAATGAAAACAACCCCCCCTCCCCCAAATTTTCTAGGAATATAAAATCATGGCAAGCAATGATTTAAAAAAAAATAGGAGGGACTTGCTGGTCTTAATAGGCATAACCACAAAGGAAGAGCAAGATCTTGCTTTGATCAGAATGAAAATAATTGTGATATTTCCAACGTGAAACAGACCAGTTCGCTAAAAAAAGAAAATATATTTGCAATCATTTGTAAATTGCAACCTTTTTGCTTATATTGATCATTGGTATGTCTGCATGTCACTAAGAACAAGGCTCAGATAAATGAGAAGATGAATGCCATCGTACTTTGCGTTGCACACTTACTAATTCATGTAAGTATGAGAGGAAGTACAGCATAATCAGACTTGCTTCCTGTTAAATTGATTCCTGCTTTAGTCTATCTGGAAGGATGGGGGGGACTGACAACAATCTTGCAAATCTCATTGTACTGTACCCCTTCTCCTCTTTACACTCATGTGAATTAGGGTGGCATCCATCTGAGCCTTTCTCATATTTTCTGCTTGATGTAGACTTAAGATGGTTTTCCTTTGGTTAACAATAATGGATCTTGCCTATCTCCATTAAGATTAACTTCATTACTTTCAACAAGTCTCCTATACCAGACTAAACAATAGCCAATAGTCAACAATAGTCTGTAACGCATGAAAACAACTGAATAATTTTGTACCATTTACATTCAAGGGGAAGAAAAGAACACAGGCTAAGGCTTCTGTTGGAGTTGAAACTTGGAGTTGAGTTTGGCTCTTCTTCAGAGCCACACATGGAATTTCAGCCAATTCCCTGGAGACCCTGCCACAATTCAGGATGGTTCTTTGCAGGTGTAAGCACGGTTACTTACACCCTTCATACTTACACACTACTGTATAGAGCTAGAATGTGTGAACTCAGCAACATTGTCTCCTGTGATGCATATAAAGGCAGCTTACCTTTAATATATTAATAGGTTCTGGGAGAAGAATTCTACCCAAATATAATTGCATATTTTATATCTACCTTCTAGAGAAAAGTATAGTATTTTAAGTCTCCATCAGCTTCTAAATCTCTTTTAGTCTAGAGAAAAAGAAAGAAAGAAAGAAAGAAAGAAAGAAAGAAAGAAAGAAAGAAAGAAAGAAAGAAAAAAAAAGAGTAGGGAGGGATAGCTGTTGCAGGCTTTTCCCTGAAAGATACCCATTCACTTTTCATATTGGATCAATCAAATTCACCAGACTTGTATTTTTCAATTAGTTACAAAATGCGATTCAGAATGCATCAGTATAAACAGATGGACTGTGAAACCCTCAAAACCCCTCTCCTCCCCCCCATGTCTCCCACAATGCATTGCAAGATGTATGTGGCCCTTTGTGAGGGCAGCACAGCCATAGGTTGGACTGCTGTTTTCGAACAGGACTATAAGGCAGGGTCTGGAAACAAGCCAATGAAAGGAGGAAGAGGAAAGGAATACAAAACACTAAGTAATTATTTTCATCAGCATTGCCAATACAGGGTCAGGAGCAGGCAGCTCATTGCTGATAGAACAGGGCTGAGGACTCTTGTGCTTGAGATCCAGTCACTGATAATCTCTTAGTGTGACAGTCTACAGCTGTGTATTTCGACTAGGGTCTCTTCTCAGTGTCTTTTTACATGACATATCTTTGCCTATCTACCTGCACAATTTCCTCTGCCAAGTGCTTAAGCTGGGCTTCCCAATCTGAGCGCTATCCAGCTTTGTTAGGAGCTACAACTCTTAGAATTCCCAGCCAGTGTGGCTGAACTTCCATAGATCTGAGACTTGTTTAACCTCACGAAATTCTGCAAAACTATAAGCATAGAACCCAGGAAATTTCACTCACGATTGTAGGTATGCTTGTATCTAAGGGAAATTTGAGTCAAATGAGAACCATATATTTATTGCAAGGCATTTCAGCTTTGTGTCTTTTTGTATCGAACAGATCACAGTCTAATAATAAGCATCCCTCTGGCGCTTTCCTGCATTTTGTGTTAATTAAATGCCATTCCAAGCCATACATCTCACTTTTATATGGGTACTGACTCTGGAGGTCTTGAATTATGGAAGTAACCAAAAATATGCACTATTTTATTCCTTTTGCTTCTTTACTTTGATGGAATAAATGTTCCAAATATTGGTTTCATATAAAATAGATTGTTAAATGCTGCTATGTTCCCCACCTCATAGTTTTGTTTTTAACTACTGAACGAGCTTTAAAAATTCACTCCCCCTTCTTCTCCTGTCACAGCTGGTTCTCTAAATACAACTTCTACAATACACTCTTTTCATAACAGAGGCCTTTAATATGTAAAGTATATTATTTAAATTCGTTCTTTTATACAATATAACCACATATCTCTTTTTTTTTTAAAAAAAATCACACTCAGGTACATATGTATAGGAGCCATGGTGGTGCAGTGGTTAGAAAGCAGTATTACAGGCAAACTCTGCCCACAGCCTGGAGTTCGATCTTGACCGGCTCAAGGTTGATGCAGCCTTCCATCTTTCCGAGGTCAGTAAAACAAGGACCCAAATTGTTGGGGGAAATATGCTGATATTTGTAAACCTCTTAGAAAATGCTCCAAAGCTCTATGAAGCGGTCTATGTGCTATTGCTAAGTGCTATATGGAGTACTGTATGCAACCTCTAGTCTGTATTTAAACTAAAGTGCTATTGTAGTGTTTGATGTACAAGAAAAGGAGGAGGCAAGCAAAATCTATAACGATCAACCCTATTTCACTAGTTTAGATTTGTGTAGAGGATGGAAAGTTTCAGACTTGCCCTTCCTATTCATTGAGTTTTGAAATCATTGCCTCAAGAATTTTATAAACGAATAGGAGAACTGAGTAGACTGAATGCTCACAACATGATCATTCGACTACACCTCATCTCTGATTGTGATAATAGTTTGAGATAATAAAGTTAAAAAAATAAAGATAATAAGTTTGAGATAATAAATAGCCAGAAATCTCTTTTGAAGATTTCTGCTAATGATGATGATGCCCATTGTGGGGATTATGGTACTTTAGCTTCAAAAATTCTGGCCTGCGAGCAAGCTGGACTCGTCTTGAGATGTTCAGCTTCTCCCCTCTCCCTTTGGAGGAGCTTAAATGTTTTCTCGAGAGAGTGATATTGGTCTCTGTTTCCAACCTTTCTGAACCCGGAGGTTTCTGCACAGCCCTGTTCCATTCAGGTTGAGTTGTCTTGAAGAGAAAGGTAAGCATAGGAACAAGGACAGGGTAAGAAAATTTGTAGGAAAGGTGTGAGGCAAGGGAGAGGAAAAAGCAGAAAGGGTGGAAGAGATATTTTTGCAGGGAGGAAGAAGAGCAGGAATTTTAAACTAGCTACAAAAACCTTAATTGAATTCAAACATAACAGTTCCATATGAAATTGGCTCATCTTTAACGATACCGGATTGAATCTCTGAGCAATGCACAGGGTAGGAGTGGGGAGATCAGTAGTGGTGAAGCTATTATGAACATAACAAGACATGTTGCTTCCAAATAAAGAGTGAAAGAGGGTAAGGGAGGGGGAGGGGAAAGGAGAGGGGAAGAGTTTGGTGGTGATTCGCAAGGTTAGGCGTGGCAAACGGGCAAGGAAATGGGCAAGCAGGCCAGGTGGTGGTGGTAAGGGAGAGTGGTGAAGGTCTGGAGTGAGGGTGGGGGTTACTGGACACAGGTGAGGAAAAGGGGGTGGTGGAAGGGGAGTGGTCTAAGACTGAAAATACTTGCCCTTCAATTTGCTTGGTACTGTGTGAATCCATCAGAGAGAGAAAGCAAGAAAAAACAAACAAAAAACAGAAAACAAAAAAGGGGGTTGGGTGGAAAGGGGGAAGGGGGTACAAACAATATTTTATTCAATTGCTGTTTGAATAAAAATATTGTGTATCATAATCATACCAAAAGGAAACCTCTTGCAAAAAACGACATGAAAAAGAAATAAGCCAAAATAATAGTAATAATAATAATAATAGTAATAAAAGTACCAATCAAAAGACCACAGTAAGAAAATAATAAAAATGTATAGATATAACTCGATCTATAGATATATATTATATAACCAACATAAAAATGGAATTCAGTAGCAACAGTTTGCAACAGTCTTGATTTAGAAATGTTCTTACTGAGTTAGCAGACCATGCAAAATTCAAGATTAACAAAAGACACACACAGAGATTGAGACAGAAGGAGAGGAAACGAAGGGAGAGAAATTCAGGGCAGTGGGCCACGCCTGAGCTCATCTGGCAAATGGGTAAGATGTGGCCATTCTCAGTGAAAGGCAAAAATAGGACAGGAGCTTGGAATCAACCCTATGTGGCAGAAAAGCTCTCTTTTTATTTTTTTTAAAAAAGCAATCCACATTTCCTTTTGCAAAGGAAGCTGGAAGTCTTTTACCATGCCTGACATTATAGTGCATAGGGGAAATCACATAGTTTATGAAACATGACCAATTTTAAAAAACAAAAAACCTGCCAAGACGACACATGTAATTTCCTGATGAGAAAACATAGTCCCAACGGAAATTGTTGAAGAGAAATATCTGTGCATTAAAGTGACATTTAGGAGAAAGCTTGCAGCTTTACAGCAGAAAGCACATACTTATGCATGTGCAAAAGACACTAGGTACAATTTTTAGGCAGGATTGGAAATGGTGTCTGCCTGAAATTTGGCAGAGTTTTTGCCAGGCACTACAGTGACAATATTAAGTTAGATAGACACTAAATAAGGTAGCTACTGTTGGAATCGAGGAGATTGAGGACCAAATCCATGTTGTATTATTTCAGGTTGGTTTTTAATGAAGAGCCATGGTGACCCAGTGGTTAAAATGCAGTACTACAAGATACTTTTGTGATTTCTAGCTACCAGCAGTTCAGCAGCTCGAGTCTCACCGGCTCAAGGTTGACTCAGCCTTCCACCCTTCCGAGGTCAGTAAAAGGAGGTCCCAGATTGTTGGGGGAAATATTATGCAGACTCTGTAAACCGCTTAGAGAGGGCTGTAAAGCACTATAAAGCGGTATATAAGTTGAAGTGCTATTGCTATTGCTAATTGGAAAAGGAACCTGGGAAGCATAAATCCTGCCAACCTAGTCTGGTGAGGGTAATTAGAAAGCTCTTCCTCTAATTTCATGATTGAATTTGAACTATTCATTTGCTGGTTTCAGAAATCTGAAAGCCAGAGCCTGATATGGTACCACTTAGCATGCTAGTGGTAATCTCAACTACAGGTAGTCCTCGACTTACAATCATTTGTTTAGTGACTATTCAAAATTGCAATGACACTGAAATAACTGACCTATGACCATTGTTTCATACTTATGACCATTGCGACATCTCCACGGTGATCAAAATTCAGCCACAACTGGCTCATGTTTCTGATAGTTACAGTGTCCCGGGATCATGTAAGCATGTGTGAGCTTCGACAAGCAAAGTCAGTGGGGAAGCCAGATTCACTTAACAGCCATGTTACTAACTTAACAACTGCAGTGATTGATTTAACACTTAACAACTATGGCAAGAAAGGTCATAAAATGGGGCAAAACTCACTTAACAACTGTCTTGCTTAGCAAGGGAAATGTTGGGCTCAACTGTGATCGTAAGTCGTGGACTAGCTATATAATGTGTAGCAACCTAAGGGCTCATTTGAGAGAGAGAGAAAACACATAAAGTCAGAGATGGCCAGCAGAGGTAATTTGGGAATTACCTCTGGCGTATTTGGGAACGATGTTGGGAGATAGGGTGAAGATGGGAACTGTTGGATAAGAGAGGGCATAATCAACAGCTGTGTGATGGAAGAAGAAAGACACTCAGAAGGAATCTCTACCCAAGCTTTCAGGTTGTGAAGGAGATGATGGGAGATTTGTACTTTTAGACTTGCAAGATCCTGCTGATGTAGTCTTACAGTAAAGTACAATTAGCTCATCTGGCCATGTTTCTTGACTGTTCTACTTGAGAACACAGACATCAATCTTGCAGACCTCTTTTACAGCAGTGGTGGGATTCAGCCGGATCGCACGAACCGGTAGCGGCGACTGCAGGAGGGTCCGCCCACGCACCCAGATGTAATGTGCGACTACTATGCATGCGCAGAAGGCTGTGCGCGTGCGCAGAGGTGTATTTGAGTGAAGCGCGCTCACTCGAGTGTACGCACGCTCACATTTGCAAACCGGTAGGGAAGGTAAGTGAATCCCACCTCTGCTCTACAGCCCGAGAACTTAGAGGGGGTTCTTTCTGAGCCTCATTCTCCACCTCATTCTCCACCCAATAAGCAGGTATGGGCTATGACTTCTCTTATCTGACCCTTATCTGACCCGGGGGGGAGGGGAAATCATCTCTTCTCCCTGTCTCCCAAAGTCATTCCTATATAACATTACACTGGAGCAGGATCCTTTAGGTACACAGACCGACTGTGTCCTAGGTGTTAAGGAGAGATGCTCTTTGGAAAGTATCATCTCTTGGCCTCAGACATACATGAAACCTCATCTGATTCTTATTTATATTTGCTGCTATAATCCTACCAAAAATTCCTATCAGTTTGTACAAGAGAATTATCTATTCAAGAAAAGATTGGACTGCCATTTGTCAGAAATTGTGTAGGGTCTCCTGCTAGAATGGAGGGGGGGGTTTGGACTAGATGACCTAAAAGGTTCCTTCCAACTCTGTTAATCTATATTTGAAAACCCTTCCCATATGAAAAACATATTTGTACAAAGTTTCTATGCTAGGGAAGAGGCTTTACTATAATTCTTTTTTATAACATAACTTTTCATCTGGAAGGAATGGGATGGCAATTTTTTTCAAAGCAACCATTTGTGAATACTGCACCAAATGCTCCTACAAAACATTGGAAGCATAGAACATAGAATAATAATGTTGGAAGAGATCTTTGAGGTCTTCTCGTCCAGCCCCTGCCCAAGGAGGAGAAGCTATACCATTTCAGACAAATGGTTGTCCAGTCTCTTTTTGAAAGCCTCCAGTGATGGAGCACCAACAACTTCTGAAGGCCAGTTATTTCATTGGTTGATTGCTTTCTCCATTTGGAAATTTCTCCTTAGTTCTAGGTTGCTTCTTTCCTTGGTTAGTTTCCAACCATTCTTTTTTGTCCTGCCTTTTGGTGCTTTGGAAAATAGTTTGACCCCACCATCTTTGCAGGAGCCCTTTAAGCAGCTTAGACCCACATCCCCCAACCTTAAAGTAGATGATCTTTATTTATTTTTTCTTTCCAAAGAGGAGTGGTTGCTTAAATAGCAGGAGAAAGATGGTTCACATTATTTCTTCTTAGTGTCAAAGTTTTTTCTAAAGAGATACTTATTGAAAGGGTTTTCTATATTCCCAAGTAAATTGGAATAGGACTGCAACTGGGGTTAAAACTAATTTAACTAAATGCCTATGGAGATTCTCAGTGATCTCAGGTCATGGTTGTCCCAAAGGTGTTTTTTCAAGAGGCAACTGGACTTTCTGGTTTTTCTTTGAAGACCTTTTGCTTCTCATCCATGAAGCTGAAGAAGCTTCTTGAATGAGAAGTGAAATGTCTTCAAAGAAAAACTAGAAAGCCCAGTTGCCTCTTGAAAAAGCACCTTTGGGATATTTAACTAAAAGTCAGCAAGTTGGGGCAGCATCCAGCCTGGAGATATGCAAAATCAGCTATTTTTTTAACTATTTCAAGAAACACATGGTGTAGGCCTGATTAATATTATACTATATCCAGAGCATTGGAATGATCTGTTTCAGGGCTGGATCAGTCCGTTTAGAGGTACGACCATTCTGTGATTGATGGTTCTATCCAGTCTTGGTCAGAAGAGCAAATATATAGATAGTCCTTAACTTACAACCATTTGTTTAGTGACTGAAGTTACAATGGCATTGAAAAAGTAATTTCCAACTGATCCTCACACTTATAACCGTCATAGCATCTCTACAATCATGTGATCAAAATTTGGATGCTTGGCAATCAGCATGTACTTATGATGATTGCAACATCCTGGGGTCATGTAATCACCATTTGCTATCTTTATGCTGGCTTCCATCTAGTAAAGTCAACAGGGAAAGCTGGATTTACTTAATCACATGTGATTCACTTCATAACTGCAATGTTTTGCTTAACAATCATGGCAAAAAAGATTGTAAAATTGGACACGATTCACTTACCAAATGCCTTGTTTGGCAAATGGAAATTCTGCTCCCAATTGTGGTTGTAAGTCAAGGACTACCTGTATTTTGGAACCTATTTGCATAAGCGAATCTTCAATATGTCGTACTTCAGCACACATTCTAAGGAATAGCATCCCTTTAAACTTCCCTGAAGGTGAAATTTTTTAGCCGCCGTAAGTAACATAGCATGAGTATGGAGTACAAAAGGTAGGAGAAGGGAGAGAGAGAGAGATGAGAAAGAAGAGGAATTACAGAGACAGAGGGACAGACACAGATAGAAAAAGGCAGAATCACTCAGAACAGGATGTTAAAAACTCCCTTGGAAGCTCCTCACACCCTTTGATGAGAGAGAGCAGAGCCCAGGATCACACACAAGGGGAAGCAAACACACAAGTACAGAGATTAATTGTAAATTAGTGAGGAAACAAGCAAAGAAATTCAAACTTTAAATAAAAATAAGGATGGCTTAAAACAAATTTAAACAAAACAGAAAGAAACATGCAAAATTTCCCAGTTTTCAAATTAACCAGCTGCTATTATAATCTACCACATAAAAAGCATATAAAGCAACAACTCAACCTCATCTCCCCTGGATGTTTTTAAAAGTTCATTGCAAGGGATCTGGTAAATCGTTTCATCTCTGGGAAGCCTGCATTATTCTTTCATAAATAAAATGAAACTTTCTTTTCTTCTCTGGGTAAGAATTTGTTTTTAATTTGATACATTTTAAAAAAGTGTTTAACATTTAGGCATTTTGCTCTCTCTTGAAAATCATCCTTAGGCTAGCTGGCGGGTTTAGGGTCACAGGGCATGTGAAAGGACAGGAGGGAAAGAAAAACCTATACTTACACTTCACCTGGAGAATCTGGTCACTTAGATTAGCTTGGATGTAAGATCTGCTGTAATTCGGTAAAACCAGACCTAAGCTGGAAAAGGAAAAAAAGGGAGATCACAATGTTACCAAAGCAGCTGCCCTGGTGATGAAAACAGTCTGAATAGAAGACAGTAATGGAAGATTTAAAGCAACAAATTGGCTTGGGAGATCATCAGAATTGAAGACTTATATATCTGGAAGGAACAGGATTGGAGACACCTGCCTTGAATGAAAGTGTTGGATGTTGCAAATTGTCCAAGGAATGTTTAATGAACTGATGTTATACAAGAGTGAATCTCAGAATGGCCTGTCTTTTTCAGGAATGAAATACAGGTAAGAATAAAACCAGTATCTTTTAAGGGCATTTGTTGGAAGCAGAATTAGAAGCGAAGATTTGAGGAAGTTAAGTTTATAATATCTTTCCCAGGAGAGTCGGTTTGCCATTCCATGTCATCCAAATAAACACAAATTCATGGCAGACAAAGTTTTTCTTATCCTATGCCTGGTTCTCAGATAACTGGATTAGAAATAACTGGATATTTGTTGAGCTATCTTGTGATAAACTGGTTTTCCTAGAAAAATTCAGAGGCATATGTATATTTGCAATAAGTAACGATACACTAGATGGCAGGCTCACTTAACAGCTTCTGGTTGCAGACTTCAAACATGATATAATCTTGATATTATAATAGGTAGCTCCCTCTTATTAGTTTGCAGTGGGAAGATACCGGTATATACATTGGAAAAGTGTTGTGCTTTAAAAAAATCAATGGATGCTTCTTCCTAGATTTTATTTCTACCCTTCAAGACCTAAGGGCATGGATAATAATATACTGTAAAATGAACAGACCCACAAAGAACATCTGGCATTGTATATTTCTGGCACCAGCCATTTGTAGCATCAACTAGAGATGGCTGTGCTGACATAGCATTAAGGAAGAGAGGCTTTTTATTTTCACAGTGATAGCTGGATGATACCATAATCTCTAGAGCAGAAGTGTCAAAAAATGTCAAGGGTCAGCTCTCCTCTCTTCCTAAAGCACTTATTCAATAACTACCAATGACCACATTTGTTACACTGATGCTGACTAGTTGTTGTACCAGAATTGCTCCTAGTGTGCTGTGTTCGACCCACTTTTCAAAATAATAGTGTCAAAAAAAAATACTTTGACAGACTTTACTACTGAATTCTAAACCTATAGTTCGGTGAAAAATATAGCATTTCAAAATAACTTAAAAGATCAAGCCATTATGTTATAATCACTTTGGCTAATATTGGCTATGAACCTTAGTAAAGTTACTTTTAAGTTAGACTGACTTCTGATGGCTTATATCAGGGGTGTCAAACTCACGTCATCACGGCAGCATCATGTGACGTATTGGGACTTTTTTCCCCTTTGCTACACCAGGCGTGGGAGTTTGACAGCCCTGGCTTATATGGACCGTTCTGTGTAATTTTCTTTAGAAAAATATAGTTTGCACCATTGTTTTCTTCTGGTGATGATGGTCCTGCATGGCATAGCTCATAGCTTCATTGAACTATGCAAGCCCCTTCGCCATGACAAGGCAGTAATCCATGAAGGGGTTTAGCTTAAATACTGGTTTCTTAAGGGGATCTCCTCCCAAGTACTCACCAGAACCAGCCCTTCTAAATTTCCCAAACTAAGGAAGACTGGCTGAATGCTGCCGCATGCTAAAAGGTTATCTGTTTAAACCAAGACATTATGGCCAATCAGTAAACCTTTGACACATTAGATAAAATTCTGAAGAACACAGGAGAGTGAGTTAGGGAGTGAGAGAGAGAGAGAAATAGAATGAATTTCTGGTATCTTTTCCCAATCAGCAGAGAATTGCATTATCTTCTAAAGAAGTCTCTTAGAAGTATTTTTTCCTAAGTATTCTTTTAATCATCACTTATGGAGGAGTGTTTTTCCTGGCTATTTCCTTACCTGTAGTTTGTGCTTTTGATAGGTGCCCAAGTGTAGGTTCTATGAACTTTATCAACATACCTCTGTAGAGTCAAAAGGAATGAGTGACTAAATATTGCTCATTACATTTATGAAAAACATTAGCTAATTTCAAAGATTCTTGGCCACATTTCATTCTTCATCAAATAAATGGTAAATAAACCAATGTATATCACGATTAACATTAAAGAACTGGTGAAGCATATATTCCAGTTAATCTAACCAATCCAACTACTAACCTAGTTCTTGTATTCTAATATATTGGAAATTTCCATGAAGTCTTTTGAACTGGTCCTGCTTATAATGCATTTTAATATTAAAACTGCCCAATTCCAAAAAGACTCTGGGAAGTTTACAATATGTCTAATACATGTTAAAAAACTGATGACTGTCCAGACTAAAACAGCACTCCCAACATTCATAAAAGACTCAACAGGTTCTCCACAGATACCTTAACACCAGGTGTGGGAACAGAGCAGGTCTTAAGAGATTTGGCCAAATGGAATAATGATTGAATTCCATGGAAGGCTTTTTCACGTAATTTCATGACATATTTTTCATACCCTAGTTCCCTGCTCCTGGTATGTTCCAATAAAGGACTACTATTTTTTTTTTTTGCTTTAATTTATATGCTGCCCTTCTCCAGAGACTCAGGGCAGCTTACAATGCATTAAGCAATAGCCTTCATACTTTTGTATATTTATACAAAGTCAGCTTATTGCCCCCACAATCTGGGTCCTCATTTTACCTACCTTAGAAAGGATGGAAGGCTGAGTCACCCTTGAGCCTGGTGAGATTTGAACTTGCAGTAATTGCAAGCAGCAGATGTTAATAACAGTGCTTTAGTCCACTGTAGGTGGACTAAAGAGCCTGTAGGCTCTTCTTTTTGAAATCTGGCAGTTCAGACTCAAAGTTCAACATATTTACCTCATCAAGGGATTTTATCAGAGTCTTAATATATTGTTGATCTTTATTTCCATCTATCATGCTTCGGCGAATCTAAAGACGGGAGAACAGAAAATGCTGTGAAGTTGGGTGGGGATACATATCAGTGGTAGCACTTACAGTTACCTTTTTAAACTCTTCTGTTCAAACCCCAAGAAAATCTCTTAACAGGATAGGATCTGCATTCGTGGATGATTCATACTATGGTATAAATACACATACACATCCATATGCAATTTACTATACAGAAATATAAGAACTACCAGTAATTATGCAAGTACAAGTAGTCTTTGACTTATAACCACAATTGACCCCAACATTTCTGTTGCTAAGGGAAACGTTTCTTAAGTGAATTTTGCCCCATTTTACAACTTTTCTTGCCACTGTTGTTAAGTGAATCACTGTAGTTGTTAAACTAGTAACATAGTTGATAGGTGAATCTGGCTTTCCCATTGTCTTCACTGGTCAAAAAGTTGAATAAGCTGATTGCATGACCCTGGGACACTGAAACCGTCATAAATATGAGTCAGTGGCCAGGTGTCTGAATTTTGATCACATAACCATGGGGATGCTGCAACAGTTGTAAGGGAGAAAAACGGTCATAAGTCACTCTTTTCAGTGCCATTGTAACTTTGAATGTCACTAAATGAACGGTTGTAAATTGAGGATTACCTGTATATATGAAGAAATTATTCCAAGCTGCCATCACCAGCACTACAAAAATCCTGTTATGACAGTGTAGCACTAAATTTGCCAAAGGAAAAAATCTGATGCCCAGATTTGTAAAAGTAAACTTTGTAGAATCTTACTATTCTGCATTGAGAAAAGATTGCTACAATGCCATTAGAATCTTTTTTTGTTTTTTTAAAAGTAATTTTATTATAGTTTTTGGAGCACTTGTATTTTTGTTTTTTGGGTTGTTGTAGGCTACTTTGATAGAAAGACTATATAAATGTTAATACAAATTATATATATATACTGAGCTGGAGCCGCAGAAAAACCTTGGTTACGTAGGGAAAACCTGGCTAGAAGAAAAACACACATAAACCCTACGAAGAAGTAAGAAAATTGATACACACACACACACACACACACACACACAGACATAGACACAGACAACAGACACACATATATTTATTTATTGTCATTGTACGTGTATACACAGTATACCCATACAACGAAATTTATTTAATACCCAAAGACCAGGTCCAACACACATAACAATCCCCACCCTCCCCCACCCACCACAAATTGCCCACCCCTAAACTACCCAAACATCCACACAACATATATACATATATATATATATATGTAAGGGATGCGGTGGCTCAGTGGCTAAGATACTGAGCTTGTCAATCAAAAGGTCAGCTGTTCAGCAGTTCAAATCCTAGTGCCGCATAACGGGGTAAGCTCCCGTTACTTGTCCCAGCTTCTGCCAACCTAGCAGTTCGAAAGCACATAAAAAATGCAAGTAGAAAAATAGGGACCACCTTTGGTGGGAAGGTAACAGCGTTCCGTGCGCCTTTGGCGTTTAGTCATGCCGGCCACATCACCACGGAGACTTCTTTGGACAGCACTGGCTCTTCGGTTTTGAAACGGAGATGAGCACCGCCCCCTAGAGTCGGGAACGACTAGCACATATGTGCGAGGGAAACCTTTACCTTTATATATATATATATATATATATATATACACACACACACATACACACATACATACATACATTGTGTGTATGTATTTGCCTCAGATAAAGCAGAGCTGATCTATCATGATTGCTTACCCTTTCTTTGTTCTCATCCTCTAGTTCAGCATCAAGGAAATCCAGGGTTACAGCTTCTTGAAAATTGATGATCTGAAAGAATAACTCCAAAGTAGTGATGGTTGTTGTGAATGAGATGAGAATTCAAGACTATCATCCTGTTCACCTTAAGCATGCCATAACAATCCTTGTTCTATGTCTTATTAATTAATTAATTAATTAATTAATTAATTAATTAATTAAATAAATTTTTATACCACCCCCTCTCCCGAAGGACTTGGGGCGGTGAACAGCCAAAATTAAAAAACATACAATATAAACATTAAAATACTATAAAAACAGAATTAAATTTATATTGGCTTCCCCCAATTTAAAACCCCTTACCCATAAAATTCAGCAATTAAAAGATTTTTAACCCAGCCCGGCTTGCTGAAATAAAAAAGTCTTCAGAGCCCGGCGGAAGGTCCGGAGGTCCGGGATCAGTCATATCCCTGGGGGTAGCTCATTCCAGAGGGCGGGTGCCCCCACAGAGAAGGCTCTTCCCTGGGGGGTCGCCAGCCGATATCGCCTGACCGAAGGCACCCTGAGGAGGCCCTCTCTGTGGGAGCGTATTGGCCGTTGGGAGGTTATCGGTGGCAGAAGGTGGTCTCGTAAATAACCGGGCCCTAAGCCATGGAGCGCTTTGAAGATGAGAACCAATACCTTGAAGCGCACCCGGAAGACCACCAGAAGCCAATCCAACTCGCGCAGGAGAGGTGTCATGTGGGAGCGCCATGTCGCCCCCATAAATACCCGCGCGGCTGCATTCTGCACCAGTTGGAGCTTCCGAGTGTTCCTCAAGGGGAGCCCCATGTAGAGAGTGTTGCAGTAGTCCAGGCGGGAAGTGACGAGGGCATGTGTGACCGTGCATAAGGAGTCCCGATCCAGAAAGGGGCGCAACTGGCGTATCAGGCGATACGCCTGTCAGTCTTGACAGAGTATTTATTTTTGCCTTCAAGTCAGTTGTTTATTTATTAAATTTATATGCTGCCCATCTCACTATCCAAAGTTGACTCCTAGCAACTGCCAAAAGAAGTCCCTGAAGGTTTTTTTGGCAAGGTTTTTCACGAGTGGATTGCCATTACCTCCTTCCTAGAGCTGAGAGAGTGACTGGCCCAAGATCACCCAGCTAATTTCATGCCTAAGGCAGGGCTAGAGTATATGTAGTATAAATGCTGTTATAAATTATGATGTTCAGTAATGAGACATGTTGACAGTTCATAACTGAAACATTTTCTACAAAATGCAAATGTATTTTGTTGGGAGTAAATAGAACTTTTCCATATACACACAAGAATTTCAGTGTTAGATGTAGGGGGTGCTGTAACTGGAAAGAATGCTTTAATTGTAAAATTAATTATTTTTCTGTAAGACACTTAGAATTGATTCAGAGACAAGGCAAGCTATCCTCACTTTAAAACAATATATCAACAATATAGGTTAAGATAAAGCAACCAATTTGATTCTTCAGCAGGTCACTAAGAAATGCATGAATTTAAGTGAGACATTATATTGTACGTTTATTGATTTATAAAAAGCATACAATAAAGTGAATAGATTGATTTATAGAATCTTGTATACAAATTGGAATTGAAAGTTGTGGAGTGTGCTGGAAGTGGTATGTAGTGGAAGTAAAATGCCCTAGAATAAATGAAAATGGTTCATCAGTGAGCAGAGGTATGTAACAAAAAAAAAATGTCAAAAAGAATTAAAGATATTAACACAGCACTTAATACCAAGATGTCAAAGAAAAAACTGCTTTTATTGCTTTGAAAGTTCCAAACCAAGTTTTGGTGTACCAAACATTATGATTTTAATCTGATTTCTAAGTAGGAAAAATGCAAAAATGAAACAGGACATCAACAGTGGAAATTAAGATAGAGTTCTACCACATTACCGGGACAAAATTTTACTAGTCTCTTTTCAATCTTTACTCCATTAAGTGTAAGTCTGATTGTCATTGGATCAATTAATTAATTAATGAAGAAAATAAGAACCTGTCACTGTTATTTGGGAGCAATCAAAACTAGTTAAATTATCAAGTGTCTGGAAAGATATATTCTACTCATATGCCAAAATAATGTCTTCTATCTAGAGTTGAAAGAACAAGGTACTATTTAAAACAAGGCATTTCTATTAAAAGTTGTTTGGATTTAAACCAGACACACAAACACACAAACACACACACAAAATGTAAGGTATTGGGCTGTTCCTTGGGTGATTTTACCATGCTGAGTAATTTGAACTGTTATTGATCAGAGTCACAGTGAAGTGACTAAATAAATTGTTATGGTTTCTGTCCATCTCTGCCACATCTGCCTATTAATAAGGCTGATGAACTGAGCTGGAAATTTCTGCCAATGAAATGTATCTCATTCTGATCAATGCCATTTTTCAATTCCTTAATTTCTGGCTGCCCTTTCAATGACAGATTTATCTGACTAGTATTTGAGCTAGAAGCCTGTTCTTTTTACTCCATTCTGATGAATGCAGAACTTCTCCTGAGATAAATTAGCCCAAGGCTAATCTACTCCTTTTCTTTTGGTTAATACCCCCGAACAAGTAATGTCTCATAAAGGGGGTCTAGCTAATTCTTCCCTATACTTGCAAAGAAAGAAAGAAAGAAAGAAAGAAAGAAAGAAAGAAAGAAAGAAAGAAAGAAAGAAAGAAAGAAAGAAAGAAAGAAAGAGAAATACATATATTATATTGTCAAAATGAGCCAATAGGTGCTTTGTGACTCTCAGAAACATATTTTCTCTTCTACTTTAAGTACATGAGCATTTTTGCCCACAGTAAATGAATCCCACCCTACAGCCAAAACAATTATTTAAATATTTAAATATCTGAATTTCACACTGCCCAACATCCTTAGTCATCATCAATGCCGCTAAATTAGAACAACCATGTCTATAAAGACAAAGGGAATGATTAACTGAATGTCCAGTTCAGTAGCTCTTGTCATTTACACATGACGTTCATATTAGAAACTTGAACCGAAGATTCCATAATCAGAGATGGCTTCTATGTTTCCTAATCCAGTTAAACACCATAATTCTGCTATGGCTAACTGATGAGCAGATATTGTGCTGTTTTTGTCTATTTTGTCTATGTTTTGTATATTCTCAAATCGGCTATATTTTCTCACTTTGTTGCTGAGGAAATTAAGCAGGTCCTCCCTGTGTGTTTACTTGTAACATAGTACAAGGTAGCTTACTCCTTCAAGGATTTCCAGGTTTAGCATACGCTGTGGTGTATTTGATACCCATGAGCAAATGTGTTCATGGGGCAACTAGCTGAGAAGAATATTATCATCATGCAATCTTATGTATATTTTCACATTTAATCCAGCAAAGCCAAATTGAACTCAGACCCTGGGAAATATCCATAAGATTATAGTCTCAAAATCCCACTTTTTTTAAAAAAAGGATAAATTATATATTTTGATGTTAATGTAATTATTTTTATTTATTTATTTATTTTATTAAATTTCTATACCGCCCTTCTTCTGAAGGATTCAGGGCGGTGAACAGCCACAAGATAAAACACATAAATACAAAAATTTAAAATAAGTTAAAAACGAATTAAATAATTTGGCTGAATTTAAAATACCACATAATTTAAAACAAATTAAAATTTACATTTAAAAAGGGGAGAAGTTTTAGGCCAAGCCAGCTTGATGAAATAAAAAAGTCTTAAGCGTGCGACGGAAGGTGCACAGATCTGGGATCCTCTGTATCTCCGGGGGGAGCTCGTTCCAGATTGTAGGTGCCCCTACAGAGAAGGCTCTCCCCCTAGGGGCTGCCAGCCAACATTGTTTGGCTGATGGCACCCGGAGGAGCCCCTCTCTATGGGAGCGTACTGGCCGGTGGGAGGCTATTGGTGGTAGCAGGTGGTCCCATAGATAACCAGGTCCTAAGCCATGGAGCGCTTTAAAGGTGATAACCAAAACCTTGAAGCACACTCGGAAGACCACCGGGAGCCAGTGCAGCTCGCGCAGGAGAGGTGTTACATGGGAACTCCACATTGCTCCCATAACTACCCGCGTGGCCGCACTCTGCGCCAGTTGGAGCCTCCGAGTGCCCCTCAAGGGGAGCCCCATGTAGAGAGCGTTACAATAGTCCAGACGAGAGGTGACGAGGGCATGGGTGACTGTGTGTAGATTAGCTAAACCTTTGGCTGCAAACCTAATTTAAACATTGAAAATCTCTCACCAGTTATAATGCTCATTGACATTATAATGCATTTAATAGTTAAATCTGTTTTTGAGTCAATGACACCATACTTTGTCTTTATGCAGGGGGCTCCATGCCAAAAGCTGATTGGGTGAGACTCCCAAGAAGAACACAGCTAAATCAAAAGAGTAAGGTGGGCCAAGGCAAACATTTTAAATACAACTATCTCCCTGTAACCATCCCCCACCTTGAAAGTAGCTAAGCAATAAACCAAGAAAGCTGACAAACTTTAAAGTGCTGAAAATGTTAAGCCTTGTAAAAGGATTTAAAGTGTGAAAAGCAAAAGTTCACCACCATTTCTTTTTTAAATTTTTGCAGCAAACTGTGCTGTCAGATTTGGTGACAATGATGTGTGGATTTCAAGGTTGCATGAAAACTATCCCAAGGGTTGCAAATACAACCTAATAAGAGTGTTTGTTTGGCCGCCTCTGGTTAAAGACAGGCTTTGCAAGCCTGTTCTATTATTGTGGACATAGGGAAAGATGAATTTTCTGGAAGAAAAGCTTCACACACCTGACTAGATTAGAGAAAAAAAGTCCTGCAGGAAGTTGAAACCCAAGGATCTAGAAATGAACATCAAAGAGGCAAAGAATGAAAGAAATAGATAGTTTGGAAGGGGTGAAGGGAGAGTTCACAAAGTCACGGCAAAGGGAAAGAATATGATGCTTAATTCATTAAAAAGTTTCAGGCTATAGAGTTTACGAGTGTTACATTTCACATATCCATTATAAACATCTGTGCCAAGCTTTGATTATTAGTCAGTAATAAGTATATGCAACTATACATCCTACAGAACAAGAGTACTGATATTTTCAATTGCCAAGCACTTTCTGGCCAGATGGTGGCATATGGTGATCAATCTGTGACTCAGAGGTGGCTAAAATGTGAGTTGTGCCCTTGTTTGTGACAGCTGTTTGCATACTCTTTCAGTCTAATGGCAAATTGCCACCATTAGCATTTCCACCCAACTCATTAATTCCTATCCAGGCAGTATGAGATACTCACCTTTGGACAGGCATATTCAGTATCCACACAATAACAAGAATATCTTTCCAGGAAAAATGAAAGAGGACAAGTTTATTGCAGTCAGTTTAGGGGGAAAAAATGGAAGAACTCATCATAATAAAAAATGGAGAAAGAGCAAAAATTGTCTTTCTAACACTGTCTATTTTGTGGTTGCTGCTAATACCATGGAGTAAACGACTACATTTTTTTTTTGCAATGATTTTGAATATACATTCATATGCACAAACTTGTCCTTACCAGAGGTCGCAGGTTTGGATGTAGCAATACATATCCATTCAAGTCAATAGCAAATACATAGCCATTAGCCCCCAACTGGATGGAAAGACAAAAAAGAAAGGAAAATCCTCCTGAAGAGAAACAGGTTACATCTCAAAAGGACAGAATGAAGTTGCATCAAAGCTCCTTTACCATGATACTCTGTGTCACCCACCTCCTGCTTGTCTAATACCCAATCCAAGCAGAGAATAAAGGTCCATCACATTTTCTAAATTAAAGGAGAGGATTTCAGTTTGCCTCAGTGATCATCATCAAAAGGATGAAAGGTGGCTTGGGGGTGAAGTAGAGAATTGAGGGAGGACACTCCTAGGAAAACTAACACCCCTCTTCCTATCCCGCTTGCTTTTTTAAATGACAGAGTTTGCGGAACATAACATCTTCCCTACTCACATTGTATCGTGGTGTCAGCTTCTTGATATCATTTAGAGCCACATCAATCCCCACAACACCCAGAATGAGCTGGTTCTGAAAATACACAAACAACAATGACAGTTTCATTCATTACATCATTCATTATTCTGTTATTTGAAATTGTGCAAGTCGGGATGCAGACTCTATTGATTTCTACTGTTTGTGTCTAAGGCAACCCTCACTATTCTTTGAGCAGTCCTGACAGGGAATTCCAGCAGTTTTAATTCACTGGAGGATAGAGTGTGCCATGCCTACTTCCTCCACAGAATTTATTGGTCTAGTTAGTATATTACTATCAGCTCATATACTTTTACATTTTACAATTGAACTGTTCAAATACTAGAGGTAGACAGTACGTAATTATACATGAGAAACTAATAGAAAGATCAACATGTTTTCACAAGATGAATTTTTGGGAGAAGATGTGTGAATTTCCTGAAGGGAATAGATGCAAGGTGAGCTGTGAAATAATAAGTTTCCAAAACCTCTTCTTATAGCAAGAAAAAGTGTAAAATATCACAATAGGAGTGTCTGTCAGTTTTAATGCTGAATAGAGTTAGAGGACACAGAGTACCAAATGAAACCTAGGATATATCAACCATATCTGCACCACCATGAATGAGCTTTGTCACATTTGTTCTAAGGAGTCATGGTGGTGCAGTGGTTAGAATGCAGTATTGCAGGTTAACTCTGCCCACAGCCAGGAGTTCAATCCTGACCAGCTCAAGGTTGACTCAGCCTTCCATCCTTCCAAGGTCGATAAAATGAGGGCCCAGATTTTGGAGGGCAATATGCTGACTCGGTAAACTACTTAGAGAGGGCTGTAAAGCACTATGAAATGGTATATAAGTCTAACTGCTATTGCTATTGATGCCTGAACTTGTCTGGCTTGGCAGCCCACTTAGAATAAGGGGATATCTTTCTTTAGAGAAGTCCAAGTGCTATGGGTCCTGGTGCACCTCTTCCAAGTTTACACCTATCTGAACTGTATGTTCTTCTCAATTGTAAGAATATTATGTCATGGTATTTTACTGTCTGCATAAGCATTTCTAGGTATATTAATTTAAATATGTCACCTGAATCTAGATCATAACCTTTCTGTATATCAGTTATTAGTGGCATTCCAGAATTCTCTGGAGTCGTATTTTTCTTCTAATATTCCAGCAACTCTGAAAACTGCACATAAATAACATCCAGTGAAAGGAAATCATAAGAGAAGAATATTAAGGCTAGTTGCAACACTCCCTGCCCCCACACCTCTCCAAAGGGCAGGTGTACTATATTTTTGGAGAGCTTCAACTACATACAGAAACAAGGAAATTCATTGCCTTTTGTGCTGTGGTCAAACTGAAGAAGTGATGTACTTTGGCTCTTGGCAGCAGCTCTATGGTTTACATCTTTTCCATTCCATTTAGGATAACATAAGGTGGTTGTTATGGCTAAGTTTCCACAACTACTGTTGCTCTGGATGAAATATCTCTTGGACTATGTGTAAATTGGCTTACTTTTCCAACAATACTAGTGAAGATCCTGTTCTCAAAGTAATTGATTAAGGAATTATCAGCTGCTGATTGGGACATTTCCTTTGTTATTATGTATGTTGGTTATTTCAAATTCTTGATACAATACTAAACTAAAATATTAAAATTAAAAGTTCCATTATGTATATGATGTGAAGAAGGTGATAGATCAGGGGTGAAATCCAGCAGGTTCTGACAGGTTCTGGAGAACCAGTAGTGGAAATTTTGAGCAGTTCGGACAACTGGCAAATATCACCTCTGGCTGGCCCCAGAATGGGGTGGGAATGGAGATTTTGCAGTATCCTTCCCCTGGAGTGGAGTGGGAATGGAGATTTTGTAGTATCTTTCCCCTGGCATGCCCACCCAGCCACGCCCACAGAAGCGATAGTAAAAAAAATTTGGATTTCACCACTGTGATAGATCCTTTTAAAAATTAATTTTAGTGAATATTTTTTTGCAGAATAGAAACAACATAAATGTAAAGAAAAGAAAAGAAAAGTAAAAAAAGCAAAAGAAAAGTGATAAGTAAATAAGGCAGAAATAAAAGAAAAGAGATAGAAAAGAAAGAGATAAGATAAAGAAATGGATTCCAATTTTTACAGCAGTTATAAATGCATTTATATTTTATTCCCTCTCTTTAAGGTTACAAAATGGTTGGAAAAGTGAGAGAGATCCGGAATACTAGATGCCTGAAAAAGCTGGGGAAGATTGTTGTACCCCCTTCCTATATGAACGTTGATGGAAATATCTAATTGCACCTACCAATATCAATATCCTTCAGTAATATTCTATCAGAGGTTTGCAAGGCAGAGGCAGAGAAAAATGCAGTCTGGAAATGAATTTCTTACTTGCACTGTTCACCCTTTCAGTGGTCCAAGTTAGCCAGGCTTGGCCTGGTTTGTAGCTCAAATTCAAAAGGAATATCCGATTCTCAGCATTGTGCTTCAAGAGGACTGGACATCTTGCACTTAGATTTTCTGAGTTATGGCAAAAACATGTTAATCCTGGGAGCCATACCACAGTACTGGAGAAACCAGGCCCTTTCCAATGACTGATGTAAATGCATAGTCGGCCTTTATTGGGTTCTTCTAAAGAAAAGTACTTTTTTTTTCTTAAAACAGACACCTGCAAGAAGCCACCGTATCAACGACTAAATGGCGCAGCATGGGATGCTCATTTCAATGGAGCTGCCATGCTGCTTTATGAGGCCATAACCAGGCTCCCTGGAGAATAAATGGCTTGGTCTTTGGCCTTGTCACTTACCTAGTTGGGAAACAGATCATTGCCTGCTTAAAAGCAAGCTGACATAGAATGCCATGGCAGATCTATTGCTGCTAATAAATCTAAACAACTAGGAATGTTGGAGCATACGGCAGATGAGACAGATTGCTATAGACATGCTGTGAATCTACCCACTGGGGAGAAAAAGAAATGTGTGATCTACTTAGTGGCACTTGTTCGCCTTGCAATATAAGGCGATAGAATATCTAGCCACTGCATTTGTTGATGCTGCATTAATAAAATTAGCGATAATATTATTTGTCTGTTGCAATATTTTCAGGATCAGACTCAATAAAGATAATAGAAGTTAAAGCTTTAAATATATTTCTTTTTAATTATGATAGGCATTCTATATTCACTGAATATTCAAGGTAGAAGCGACGAGAATGGTGAGGGTGGCTCCTTATATATACAAGGGGTGGAGCTAGGAATGGGAGTGGTAAGTTATGAATACATTAAAGTCCAAAGAATAAGTTAACCTCTGATGTTCCATATATACATTATTTACACATTGGAGAATAAGGCATTTACATCTGACAAATCCCCCTCTAAATGCCGGTTCGTTACACAACACCAATTACATTCTGATTCAGGACAATATAATACATATAATTTAGAAGTTAAATATTTGTGTTGTTTAGAAGGTAAGGGTTTTGTAATATGTCAGCTAATTGTTCAGAAGTATCGCAATGTATTGCTTTAATGAATCCGTCTTGAGACAGTTGTCTCACATGCTTAAACTTTATATCAATATGCCTGGACCTTTGTCCAATTGCATCGGATCTGGATATTTCAATGGCCGCTTTATTGTCTTCATGCATAATAAATGGTAAGGTGGGTTTCTTCCAAACATCAGTGATCAGATCATTGAACCATACAAGGTTATTTGCAGCTTTGGACAAACAAACATATTCCGCTTCTGTAGTAGAAGTGGCTACTAGTTCTTGTTTACCAGTATACCAGTAAACTGGACAATCATTCAATAGAAAAACATAACCAGAAGTACTCTTTCTGCATGATGTATCACCAGCCCAATCTGCATCAGCATAACAAGTAATCTGCATTAGGTTCTCAATGTATCAGATATTTGTCTTGTTCATTATTGGTTCATTAAATAAATCTAATTAAAATCAGATACTTAAATTCTTTTGACAGCTTCCCAATGATACAAGGTTTACTAAATATCTTGACAAATAGATTGAGAGGTAATGCAATATCTGGCCTAGTCCAATTAGATATATAAAGGAGTGAACCTATAACTGATCTGTAAAATGTGTTGTCTTTAAACTCAGGGGAAGATTCATCAGTGTTTCTAAGAAAATCAGTTTGCATAGGGGTGTCACAGGTTTTAGCATTATTTAAGTTACATTTGTTTAGGAGTTCGATGATTTTATCTTTCTGTGTAAGTTTGAATCCCCTTTTAGTTTTGTTAATTTGCACACCAAGGTATTTATTCACTTTACCCAGAGATTTCAGTGAGAAGTGTTCATTTAACTTATTTACAAAGATTTCCCTGCTCTCTTTATGCTTTCCAATGTATAAAATATCGTCCACGTAAATTAATACAAATTCAATATGATCATTACTCTTTTTTACAAAGAAACAGTTATCAGCAGTGGTGGCGTTGAAATCCATGGTCTTAAGTACTTTTACCAAGCAATCGTACCATCTTTTGCCGGATTGCTTTAATCCGTACAGACTCTTATTTAATAACCAAATTTCGTTCTTATTAGTGTATTGACTGTGTGGTGCTCTTACATATATTTCCTTATCTAATTTTGCATGTAAGTATGCGGTCTGTATGTCATATTGGAATACGTCCAGATTGAGTGCAGATGCTACTACAAGGGCTGTTTTGACACTCTCAGTTCTCACTGTGGGTGAATATGTATCAGTATAGTCTTCTGGATATTTTTGTGCGTAGCCTTGTGCAACTAGTCTAGCCTTGTATAAGGTATTGCCTCCTTCTAAGTTCTTAATTTTATAAATCCACCTGGTACCTATAATTGTTTTATCCTTAGGTGCGATCGCAGGTGTGAATACATTTAATCCTTGTAAACTTTCCATCTCTTTTTCCATAGCTAGTTCCCATTTTTCTCTTTCTTCATGTGGAAGTTTCAATACTTCTTCATATGTATTAGGTGTTATTTGTTCTCCATTCATATGCATTATGTAATCTTTGTATTTATTTGGTATTTGGTTTCTATTGTTTCTAATAGTTCTTTCAGGCTTGCTATGGTTATCATGCAAATA